CGATGAAGTTGATGCATTCAAACTGAGAATTCTGCTTTGTGTAGTGCCGAGCGATATGGAAATATGCAAATTCCCCGCCATGCGGAGTTCCACCGCAGCTATCTCAATGATGTTTTCGACCGAACAGGGGGACGGCGGTTACTCCCCTGCATTTTTGATCTAGCACGGTTTCGGCCGAAAACACTTCGCCCTTACCCGTGAGGGGCTTGTTGTAGCAGGTGGTAAACACCATCCCCCATGCCCGGCCGAAAACATATGTCAAGAAGGAAAATGTGTTCGAGTTATTTATTGACTCGAATGAAGTTTCCACCCAAAAAGTAGTTTTAGGTATGGGAATATATATGTATTCACCCTAAAGGATCTGTCCCAAGGAAAAAGCATTCGAGTAAAGTTACTTGCTCAAACTAACATCACTAATTAATGAAGCTGTGTTTCAGGCAGGTTAAGGTGACAAGGAGCCTGAAAGGTGGGAGAATGTGTTCGAGCCTTAGCACGGGTGATCTCACTCGAGCATATGAAGTTGAGGAAAAGTGCCATTGAGCAAATGGTCTAATTTGGGAAAGTACCATGGGGACCACCTCAACCACTCTCACCAGCTAGCACCAGATGTCATTTAGGGACCACCAGAATGTACCAAAATGCCCCTATAGGTCATAAACTTTATAGGGGTAAAATGGTAACTTCATGTAAGCCTGTAATGACAAACTTGTAAATCTTGGACATGCGGTTGAGCACTATTTAAGCCAACCAAGATCCTGTAAGCACGGGAGGAGATGAATATAGAAAAAGCACATTCATTCACTTTGGTATTTGTCTTTTGAGCTCACTCTTAGGATAGACGGGAAATTACATTTTCCCTTCTATCTCCCAACTTTGTCCATGCCCTTAGGTCACGACAACAATTATGCTCAAAGGGGGGGAATAATAACTTGCCTTGCTCCAACGCAAATAAATCCGAGATAAGCAACCTGATTATCCGATCCTCGAAATATCACAGGTTGTCATCCAAAATATAATAGATTCTACTAAAGAAGAGGAAGAACCAAATTCAATAAAAGCCATAAAATAACAAGAGAACGATAAACAACTAGGAGGGCTAGGGTTTAGGGTATAATCTATCTCTTCTATAGGATATAGGGATTATATTTCATATGTAGGTTCTAAAGGGTTGTAGGCTAGGTTGGATAGAGGATTAAGCAACTATTGTTGCTTACATTTTATGTATGGGCTTTGGTTGTTTGGAGATACAGAGTATATTAGGTAATTGAACTGGCTAAGTAGGCATATGGCTAGTATTAGCTGGTGATAGGTTTAGGTAGTATAGTGTCTGGGGTTTGGTTATATTTAAGCCGATTGTGGAGTAGGGAAGCATATCGGCTAGGGTTTGGTTGTTTACTAGTCGTTGCTAGAGTTGGGCAGTATAACGACTAGGTTTGGTATTTTCTCTAGTTGGTGTCAACAGATAGCATATCGGCTAGAGGAATAGGAGGTTGGTGCAGGTTTAGCGGGGCGGAAGTGTTACTCCGACAACCGTGGGTGGCGGCGGAGTGGCTAGGATCACACAGAGCCCGAGAGCTAACTGTGCAGCGTGCGGTGGAGGTCAAGGGAATAGTGAAGCTCTGACCGCTGTACGCATCAAGGCGTGGGGTGCCAAGAGCAGCACTTAAACCTTGGGTTTGGTTCTACCGGGCTTTACAACCAATGATCTGACATCGGGACCCGTAGACCGCATGAACGTCCCCATGGAAGACGTAAAGTTCCAACCGGCGGCTTTTTAGTAGCTAATAGGTATTTTGGGATAAAGGGAAATATTTGAAAGGTAAATATATGTTTAAATTGGATATTCAAATAAAATATTAAAATAGTAAATTTAGTATCAAAATGTAGATTTTGAATTTAGATGAATTTGGGGAATGGATTTGCCTCGTCGAGGCAAAGCTTATGGCGCGAGGGTTTGGCCGGCGTGTCTCTGGTGAAGGAGATCGACGGCGGCCGGTGGTGGTTGCCATGGTGGGGAGAGAGAGAGAGGAAGAGCTTGAGGCTTTGTTGATGTGTGGAGAAAAGGGGAGGGCTCGCCTTCTATTTATAGGCAGCGAGAGGTTGGTTCGTAAAGGAGGAGGAGAAGGACGACATGGCGACGGCGGCGTGGAGAAGAGGAGCACGGCGGCGGCTCTGTCTCCGATTGGACGATGGAGTCGGTTCGGCTAGCGGTTGACGTCAGCGAGGTGAGGTGGCGGCTGACGTCGGTGGCAGTAGCGGTGGAGAAGGAGCAACAAGGCCGCACAGCGATGGCGCGTCGGCTCGGCGAAAAGGCAGCGGCGTGTTTGCATGCACCACGCGCGCTCACAAAGGAGGGAGAGAGGCGCCTGCCTCTTGGGCCCTCTGGGCCAAGCGAAGGGGAAAAGGAATGGGCTAGATTGAAATTTTTTGGCCCACAGTGAATAAAAAATCTTTTTGTATTTTCGAATTAGATTTGAAGGATGAAATTTGAATCCAAATTAATATTTGGAAGAAATTTAGGTGGCTAACTTTTGAGATGAACTTATTTTTAGAAATAGTTTTCAAAAGAGAGATTTCCTAATTATTTGAGTGCAATAATTTTGAGAGATGGAAACTGGTAGTATGAATATTTGAAGAAATATTTGTGGCTAATAGGGAATTAATTTGGAAGAGAGGAATAAAATAAAAATCTATTCTTCTTAGCACAAGAGAAATCATTCTGATATTTATAATACTGTTATTCTTGAACCGAGGAGGAAATTAAGCCACATAAATTAAATTGGCGACTAGATAAAAAGGAGGAATTTGGATAAGGATAGGTTTAGAATCAAAGGATGGGTCAACAATTAATTCAAAATTGGAATTGGAGGATTTTCTTGGACCATAATTCATAAAAGTAGAAAGGGTTTTCAAACTAAATTTCAATAAAAGAATTTTAGTCGAAAGAAGGTTTAATGTAGGATTCCATCAAGAAATACCTCAATTTAACCAAATATATTTCTCTACTGCTTAAAAAAAATAAGAGATGCTTTCTTCATCGTCGAAACAAAAATAATAGCGAAAAAAAATAAAAAAAGTCCGACTCCCGTCAAAACAAAAACAATAGCGAAAAATAAAAAATAAAAAAGTCCGACTCCTATATCCATTCCCTTTTAGAAACGAAAAAAAGTCCGACTCTGGATTGGTGAAAAAAATTGATGAGCCGAACTGAAAATCTGTTTAAAAAATAGAACCTACAGGTCGAGATCATTTCATTTTTATATGATTTTAATTTTTGGGTTTGTACTTTTGCATTTGAGTCTCTATAATTTTTATATTTACATTTGAGTCCCTATAATCTTGCAATAAGGTATTTGAGGTCGTTTTTGTTAAAAAAATAATAAAAGAGAGAAAATAAAGGCAGAAAGGTGCATAAAAAGAAAAAGAAAAGCCGCACAAAAAAGAAAATAAAGAAAAACAACGATAACAAAAGTTTTTTTCCCCTAAGTGGCCAAAAAAACTGTAGATCCAAATAAAAAAAAATCTGATTCATATAAAAGGCAAAAAAAAGTGGTGAAAAAAAAGGCTAGAACCGATTCCTTTAAAAACAGGAAAAAAAAGTCTAATTCCTATAAAGGCGAAAAAAATCCGAAAAAACATCTAAAAAAGTTCGTCCGATTCCCTAAGAAAGTGGCGAAAAAAATGGTTCTTAAAAAATAAAAAACTGGTTCATATAAAATAAAAAATGCACGCGAAAAAAAATTTGGAAAGGGCGGAAAAAATCCTATTTCTAACAAGTATATATCTCTTCTCTATCTCTAATCTAATCTAACTATTAAAAAAAGAGAAAATACACGAGAAAAAAAGGTTAAAAAAACGCGTGAGGCAAAAGTCAGAAAAAGCTCAAAAAAACACGCTAAAAAGGTTTTCCATCTTCAATAAAAAAATAAAAAAACACGCGAGAAAAATTATTTCCATCGTCGGTAAAAAAATTTTAAAAAAACATGCGAGGAAAAACTGTCAGAAAAAACATGCCATTTCTAAAAAATGGTTTTAAAAAACCACGCAAGAAAAAATACCGTCTATTAAAAAATAAATCGCTCTAAAAAAACTATCAGAAAAAAGCTAAATTGATGGACACTTGAGTCGGATAGGATTCATCGATTTTTTGCCATCTACTACACGGCTTTTATTTTGTCATATATTCTCCTGTATTAGAAAAAAGAAAAAAAGAACATTCGAAAAAAAACAAGCAAAAAAACGTGCGAGAAAACAGGCAAAAAAACAAACGAGAAAAGAAAAGCAAAAAAAGGAGAAAAATATGGTTTTCTTTGTCAGTAAAAAAAGCAAAAAAAATGCTAGGAAAAAACTGTTAGAAAGAAATACGCCATTTCTGAAAAATGGTTTGAGAAAATCTCGCAAGAAAAAAACATTGTTTATAAAAAACAAGCCGCTCATTAAAATAAAACATTGTCATTGACATGATTATGCATGAAAAACGTATATTTTCATTAGAATGTTTTTACCCATTGCAACGCACGGGTATTTTTGCTAGTTAAATGAAAAATACGAAAGAAATTAAATAAAAGGAGAGGTTTTATGCGACTTAGTTTTAGGAGTTCCCTCTAATTATAATTATAATGTCCTTGGTTTAGGAGGTTATTAAGAATATAAGAATCAACATGATGCATAATTAGAAAATAATTAATTTTCGGGATGTTATATATTTATAACATCAATATAGTTTTATTAAATATACAATTGAATAAATTTTTATAATAAATTTATCTTGAGTTAAAAATATTACTATTTTTTTTCTATAAAAGTAGTAAAATTTAAAATAGTTTGACTTTGACCAAATTCAAAACGTACTGTAACCTGAAACACTGTACCAAAAAATTCGGTTCAAATAGCCCCCCCCCCCCCCCCCCCCCATAATCCACGTGTTCCAAACAACCAATTGGCTCCTACCCGTTATCTTTGTGTTTCCATCCAGTGAACCCCACCTCATCATTCTATATTTCTATGATTCTATCCCCTCCAGATTTATCGGCGCCTCAAATCCCCAGTCGACCAGGGTGCTCCCAACAAGAATCCCACCGCCACCGGTCGCCATGGCTGCGGTCGCCAACACCGTCACAACCCTCCCCCTCCTTCCCTCCCCTCATGCCTTCGCCGTGCCCGCAATGGGCTCGCTGCCCTTCCTCCGGCGCCGAATGCGCTCCCGTCGCCTCGCCGCTGTCCAGCAGGATGCGGCCGTCTGGACCCCCGCCCCCGTCTCCTCCTTCGGCCCAGCCACCGCCGACGGCTCGCTCGTCCACTTCTCCGTGGACCTCTCCGACGCTACCGACCTCGCCGCATCCTACACCACGCCGGGGCAGTATCTCCTAATCCGCGTCCCCGGCGAGGATGAGCTCAAACCGGCGTTCATGGCCATCGCCTCGCCGCCTGGGGGTGCCGCGTTCGAGTTCTTGGTCAAGACCGTACCTGGTACCACGGCGGAGAAGCTGTGTGGGCTCCGCGACGGGGACGTGCTGGAGCTTGGCGCGATAATGGGTAATGGGTTCCCCATCAGCAGGATAAATCCGCCCGATGAGGCGCAAACTGTGCTCCTCTTTGCTACAGGGACCGGGATCAGGTGATTGCTTCTCTCTCTGATGAATGCTTGTTTTTGTATATATGCTGAGCTGAGTTTAATGTGGTTAACACTGCAATAGTCAGTTGTCACACATATTGCTTTATTAGTAGCATTTTGCAGTTTACACATAGTGAAGCTTTTAAAATAGTTCTGAGCTATAACAAATTTCATATGTATAAGCTTAGAGATATCGCAATGTTCTTCAGTAATTTTGAACATGTTGTCACTGTAATGCAACTTGTTTCTTTTGATGTATCTCATTAATCGGACGACTCATTTACTTACTATAATCCAGTTTGCTAAAATAAATAAAGGCTGACTTAGCGGAAGAATGCAAGATGAGAAAATAACAGTATCGTCGAGCAACAGTATCTCTAATAATAACCGTAGGTGCTGACATAATTGTGTTATCTATTACTTATGCATATAAATCAAGCCTAGAAAATTAGTACCTCACCTTTGGTTCTTTCCTAAAAAAATGCCTTTTGTTTTTGTTTTGCTAAGGATCAAACATTCCTTACAGATGAAATAGATCACAAAAGAATTACCTATATGAAAAATTAACATGAGAAATGGATGGTATGTGTACGAAGATTAGCAATTACGCTATACTGCATTACATACTTTTATTTAAATGGCATGTTTACTACAGCAGTATGGTGAGGCAACGCACTTTGCCTTACAGCATATGCAATGTGACACAAGTTGAGATGGCTTGTTAAACAGCATGTGATCCTGGGCCTGTTGGGGCACACACCCTCTGGCCACCATCCCTGGTCAGTAGTCATGCCAAAATTTGCAGCGGTGGCTAGGCGGAAGAAATAGCCAAACCTTAGTTGTGTTGACTGTTTGATTGCTAGCCTTGATAAACCATATCAAGATTTGGTTACAACCGATATCTGGGCATGACAAAATGTTTGGCATTGAAGGATTGGGTAGATAGCATGCTGTTTTGGCAAATAGGTAGGGTAGCGGGTAGCCTTTGGCTTGAGCAAGGTAAAATGCCAATATGTATATGACTATGACGAATTGGTGGTTCTACCTTCCTTCTATTACTCTCTATGTAAAAAAAAGTGAATTTTCTATGACTGGACTGACTGGGCTAAGTTATGAGAAATAGATTTTTCCTAAATGGATTACAAAATAAATACTTTTAGTTTAGAATATATGATCTTTTAAGCATTAGTACTAAATAAACCAATAGCATATTTCATGCATCCAATCACCACCTTCCATGTCAGCCCAGCTGCCCCAGCATGCTGATTGGGCAGCAAAAGATTGTGAGCTGTTTGTTTCCCATCGAATGGTCTGCAGATTGGCTAGTTTTGGCTTAGTATTACTAATTTCCTTTCGCATGCCAATTTTTTTAATAAGCCAAATAGTGGGCAATTTCCTTTGGCTTTCTCAATTTTTAGTACGAAATTTGTATAGGTTAATCAGCACTCTTGGTTTTGTTGATCTGCTTGGCCATCACCCCCCATTTAGCCCCAAATATTCTTGTAGGGAAACATGTAAGAAAGTAGGACTTAAGCTAACTTAATATCATGTAATCAAGGGTTTAAAAGAATCATGATTTTCATGTCTTTGTCTCATGGCCCATGGGCCCAAAATGGCGATGGCAGTTATCATGGAAGATATCGTATTCTGTGAAAGCTAAGCTTATAATATAGCAATACTTTTTCTTCAAGGGAAAACTTATATCATATGTCACTACTCGAAATTGATTAGGAAAAGTAAAAAAAAAATAGTTTTTACATATAAAGCATGTAAAACCGAACATTAAACTAATTTGCCAGTTTAATATCTGTTCATGTGAAATTTTAAGAGTATTGAAGATTCAAAGTAGTCTCTTATTCGTAAGAAGCCATAGAGGCAAACATAAAGTAAAGCAAAGAAAAAGAAAATTAAAGAAAAACATTACTCCCTCCTTCCCAAATTGATCATCATATTTTATGCATCAAGACCAATGATAATTTAAATCACATCAATCAAGTCATCATGAACACATTCTCCCACAATGCATGCATCGATTAAAACATCATTCCAGTTAGAGCAAGTTTAATAGTATAGCTAACTACTAGCTCCATATCATTTATAGCCAATGTAATAGCCAATTCATACAATAGTTGCTTACAACACTATTAATACATGATCCTACACACTGTATGTCTTGGAGTCTGTGCTGCAGCTGGCTACAGATCTGTAGCCCGCTGCTCTTCTCTCTCTTCCTTTATCTCATTAAAATATGTTTATAGCTGGCTTATAGCCTGTTATTGTACCTGCTCTTACACCTTAGCATGCACACATTCTCCCATGTTGTATTAATTGTATTCTGATGAAATCTGTGTCCATGCGGTTATATGATGATCAATTTGAGAAATTTTGAATTCCATTATGTGATGATCAATTTGGGAAGGAGGGAGTAGATGCCAATGTTAATGTCTCATAGCTGCCTGTGGGAATTCGCTTGGATATTTGTTTTACAAAATCATGAGCTGCAATTAGGAGTTCGATCGTCTTAGTTAGCATGCGAGTTTTTTTAAAGAGATTTCTTATACGACTCCTTCTGTATTTCTAAAAGCGAACGAACTTAAAAACCGACTCAAACACGGATGACATACCAAAGGACCGGCATAAACATCTTCAATTTTTATAATAGTAGAGATTAAATAGAAAAATGCATTTGTACTGTAGTAGTAAAGAGAACAATGCATAAAGTTAAATAGATAAATGCATTTGTACTATAGTAGTAAGGGTTCTGCTTTCTCTTTCTGCTCCTATATGTTTTTGAATGGTTGTACCAATTTACTGGACCTAAAATGAACTATTGCTTCACATTTGTTAGAATATTGTGAGAATGTTTAGTTCCCTTTCCTCACCATCAAAGCAAACTTAGTTAGCGTTTGGCAAGGACATGTACATGATTTTATTTTTTTTTTTTGACCAAGGGTATGAAGCCCCCATTTCCATTACTAGAAATGAGCATACTACAGAGTTCTTTCATACAAAGGAAACAAGGACTACCAGCAAGCTAGTTTTCTGAGGAAACTACATCCAAAATACGGTTTTCCAGAAGACTCCAACCAAAATCTCCCCTATGACACAAAGGACTCAACTCCCTGCAGTTTTAAAGTAAAGCTAAGACACCTAAGAATCCAAAGACCATAGCAAGGCAGCAGCCACCACAGGTCTTCAAATCTAAGCTGACTTCACAGTCCAATCCTTCTTGCGCCTCCTCTCAATCCATACTTGGAATTGAAGATCTCATTTGCTACCTGTCTTATGAGTTTGGCCCCCAATAGCAGCCTTCTTTGATCTACCTCCACTTTCTGCAAAGGAACCCAAGATTCAATCCAATGGCAAACAAAGAAAACTACATCAGTTGGATCATTAGGAAATTTTTTGTCAAAACAAGCTTTTTGTTCCTTGTTTTCCAAATAGCCCAAAACACTGCAGCCACCCCAGTGACTACCAGATTTTTAAGTTTTTTCCCAAACGCAGAAAGCCATGTGCCAAATAACTGATTACTGTTCAGGATAGGTCCCAAATTAAAAGCACACATGACAATGTTCCAGATCAACCTAGCAATAGGGCAATCGAAAAAAAGATGTTGGAGTTTCATGATAGTTTCACTAACATGTACATGATGTTAGTTGGCGTTTGTCAAGGACGTGTATTTTGTTTGTAACTACCCAAGAGCAGGAAAAGGTTTCCTTGCTTCTAAGGGAGATCAGCATGCTGTTATCTTATTTGCTGGATAGGAAAGACAGGGCTAAATATGTCTTGAATGCTGATACATCTTTTACGATAATTTAGTCTGATTCCATATTGTTGCTGACTGTCTGGTTTTGGTGATCAAGTATAGTCTGGCATCCTTTTGATGGAATCCTACCCAGGTTAATTTGTATGTTAATCATGCAGTCCGGTTCGGTCACTTATTGAGTTTGGTTTTGCTGCGGATCAAAGAGCTGATGTACGACTTTATTACGGTGCCAGAAATCTCCAAACAATGGCATATCAGGTTGAGACTTGGAACTTTCCTTCATTCTGCTCTATGTAAACAATATCTTCACATAAACCTTTTCTCTCTGGCAGGATAGGTTTACAAACTGGGAGTCAACTGGGCTTAAAATAATACCGGTATTGTCACGAGCAGATGATAGTTGGAAAGGAGAACGGGGATATGTTCAGGTAATATATGAAAACTCCAACATTACTATAATCTTGTTATATGTTCATAGGTACATACAACCTTATATCATATCATTTTCATTTTCCAGGATGCTTTCTTGAAAGCCCAGAACATAGCAAATCATTTTTCTACTGGGGCAGTGCTCTGTGGACAAAAACAAATGTCTGAGGCATGTTTATCCTCTCTTTTTTTTTTTTACTTTTGCACATTCCTATTGTTATGTGTGCTACAGGTTACAAATATTATGTTTGGTTCTTCTGGCCAAAGAGCTGAAACCTTAAGGATATAATTCAATACTGTGCAGTAAATACTCCAAAAGTGAACCTTTTTTTTCTAGGCCGATAGCTATTTGTTCCCAAAAAAAGAAAAATAATTTACACTTACTGTAGCAATCAAATGTTGCCCTGCACTTTGTAGCAATCAAATGTTGCCCTGCGCTTAGTGTAGTTCCTAGATTCTTATCATAATTGTGATAAACCCAATGCTGTCTGTTGCAAGAAATATAGCTATATCAAACCACCACTAGCTCTTGCACTTTATTTTGTGTGCTCAGATCTGTATTACATCTTGAGATAAAGCTAATTTGATTCACCCTGAAATTTTATTGAACTCTGCAAGTTGCAGTCAGGAGCTAGTAATGTTAGTTTGCACACTTATGAATTGGAGTATAATCCACATCATGAAGTGTCCAATACATACGTTTAATCAATATAAAATTCAGATTTGGGTACAAAATGCTACTCTCCATTCCACAATGTAAGATGTTTTGGTCTCTCCATCACTCGTCTATATTTACTAACATCCTTATGAATTTAGACATATATGAAGCACATACTTAGATCCATGCATGAATCTATTCAAAACCCAAAATGTCTTATATTGTGAAATAGAGGAAGTATTATACCATCAATGTGCATGTGGTAAGTAAAATTTTAAGAAGATTGAATTTAGTTCAACTATAATAATTATAATATTATTTATTGAGAAGCAAAGCTAAATATTTGTTGATATTTTTATATATATTATAATAGAAAACAATGGTTAAAGTTATTTTTTGGAGACCATGTCATTGTCCAAAACGATTTGTGGTAAGTTGATGTCATCTTCTTTGGTGACAATAGATGTAACTAGGGGTTGGCAACGGAGTGGGGCGGGTGTGGATTGGACAAGAACAACCCCAGCCCCAGGGTGAAGAGTGGGGCGAAATCAGTCCCTGGCCACTCTGAGGACGGAAGTGGAAGATGAAGCGACACATCAGAGGAATAGGAGGTCAAGGCCAGCCATCAGCCACCGTCGACCACCACGCTTTAGGATAGAGGAATATGAGGTTGAGGCCAGCTGCAGTGTCGTAGGAGCCCTGGCCGCTACTTCATCGGGATGCAGAGTCAAGGTCAAGGGATAGGTCCGCAACGACGAACGTAGCATAGTGGTTTGGCTACATGCGTTCTAGTGCAGATCAAGGGACACGATGTCGAAGGGGAGGTCTGCGATGGTGGTGTGGGATGGATTTGTGGGGACCGAGAGATTGACATAACGGGATAGGGTTTTCTTGATGGGCTTTTGTGGAGTATGTATTTTCTCATCTCCTATGTATACGGGGCCTTGCCGATCACCGTGGATGAAACATATAACCCGCCTCCGCCCCTCGGAAGCAGTAAGTGCCTCACCCCGATCAACTCGTGGGTGAGAAAATTGCCTAGGCCCTAGACCCAATGGAGAAACTACCACCCTTAGTTCTATCTAGTTCAAGTTAGTATTGTTGGTTAAGAAAGCAGCACTACGCAGATAGCTTAAGTTTCTAACGTAAGTACGACCTTCTCCTGTGTTAATGATGTGAACATTTGTTTTCAGAGTAGGGTTGTGGTTGGTTGCACCACGGTGCACCACTTCTCCGGAGTAGCACAATAATGTTACCATATGCTTGAGCGTGATGAGGAGTCCTTCATGACCTCACTTTTTAGATAATATGCACATGGACCACGAATGTGTAACAATCTGTTGGCAAATTGGAATTACTCCACCTAAGAGGTTTAAGGAGGAATATGCCAAACAACCTCCATGTGGCCATGTGCCTCACTCACACTTTCCAATGGCGTTTGATAGAGGACATCACAGCCAAACCAGTTGCCAAGCCAACTGCGTCCAATGAGCCACCTTCAATGCTTACAGCAATGCCCTAACAGGGCGCTAGCGACCCTCACCCCCAATGTAAGGCCTTATGTCTTGGTCCAATCAACTCACCCAAAGAAAATGGGGTTAATTAAATTCATGCCATAGCAAATTTCACGGTTTGGAAAAATACCACTACTATTTACCTATTTATAGCCATACCATTGCAATACATATAAAATTGGATTCATGCCACTTTGTACACTTCAGGCCCGTTTTGAAATGTTCTTTTGCTATTGTATTTTCATAGTGACCAAAATACCCCTGGTCCCATTTCTCACATGGGACCCACATGTCAGATCCATCATCTTCCTCCACTCTGCCTCTCTTCTTTGGATAAGCCATACCCATGGGGGTAGTACACAGCGGAGGACTCGTCCACCTCGACCGTCACTGCCAGCCAGCCCCTCGCAGGCTTGTCCGCGCGCGCTGCCGGAGCCATGGCTGAGAGTAGTAGCAGGATCAGGCCGACAAGCTGACCGACCTGGCCGCTATGGGAGGAGGTCTGCCTTTGCAGAAGCACCCTGGACAGGAGAGGAGATTTGCTAGCTCCCGTCATCTGATTTGTCCCTTTCCCCTTAATATTTTTTCAGTTTTCTAGTTTTCTTCAGAAGCTACCGTTATTATTTTTTAAGTTTTCTTCAGAAGATACCGCTGGTTGGAGCTTCGTTTCCACTGCACCTCGAGCCTGGCGGAGAGCACAATTCAGGTCGCGGCTTCGTCGGATGCTACTATTGTCACTGCCTCCACTATCAGGAGCCGTCCCTGCAAACCATCGGAAGAGCTTGTGGAGAGAGTGGGAAGAGGAAGATTGGGAAGGGTGGAGGAAGATGAACTTGACAGGTGGGTCCTATGGGGATAGGACGAGGGGTATTTTGGTCCCTACGAAAATACAGTAGCAAAAATACGTTTCAAACATGTTTGAGTTGTATAGAGTGGCATGGATCCGATTTCAGATGTATTGCAGTGGCATAGTTAAAAATAGGTGAATAGTAATGGTATTTTTCTAAATCGTGAAATTTGTGATGGCATGGATCTAATTAACCCAAGAAAATGACCAATCGAACCCAGGCGGCTATGTTAGAATTGCCTAGGAATTTTGGTCTCATCCACCACTACATCGCCCATGGTGCTGTACTATAGAGAGTTGGAAGAGCCTTGTAAGCCAACCGAGGACATCTAGGTATCACTTAATGTTATCATCATCCACACAAGTAGAATAGTTGCTAGTCTCTATCAAGGGCACCTCCAATGTGTTGCACTCATGGTCTACAACTCACACAACTATGTGCATGAGACAATGCGTGTAAGCTTGGCATCACTAATAACAATTGGGTGACAAGCACCTGGCTTAGCAAAAGGGTGACAATTCCTCTTGGAGGATTCGACATCGTCAATGTATAGTTGTTTAAAATGTTGGCACATGTATGGAAATTTGATGGCTCGCCCATGTCCTTCTAGTGGCAGAACCATCTCGACATCTCATCACCTAGCATGGCTTAGAGGCCACACCATGTGAGCTAAATACCTAATCCTCTACAGCGATAGATCTTATGGTGGTTTTGTGTGGATACTACAAAACGTTTATCTAGGATTACGACTTTGTTTAGCTATCCAAGCTTGTGAAGGAGTTTTTTGGAGGACCAAAGGCGAGCGTACATTCCAAGCTCTTAAATTTTTTGTTGATCACTAGCTTGTCTTGCAGATCCTAACATCAACACACTTTCTGCAGTCGATTGTGACACCTTGGGTCTAGACTTCAGTCAGATTCTCCATCAAGTTGATTCCCTCCTTGCTTTCTTCAACAGGGCAGACATACCTTAACACAAAGTTATTGTCCTAAGAGTGAGAGTTGATCCAACTTATTAAGGTTGTCTTTAGTAGTGAAACGCTCACAACTCTGTAATTCCAATCGATATGAGCAAGGATGGTCCAATTTTTCTGTTAGTTGATGATACCTATAATTTGGGAGAGAAGTTGATGACCCGACTACAATTGTACTAGACGTTGTATTGCACCTTAGCGATCTATACACCTCTCCATCTGTTGTTGATCTTACCTGGTCAGATCAACCTTATTTCTGCAAGTAAATCGAAGAAACAAGGAAGAACAAGATTAAAGTAATTTGATAATACAAATAGGAATTCAAGCTCACGATAAATCGAACACTCGATAAGGTGTGGTTCCGAAGACGAGTAATTAGGCGGTCTGGCAGACACGTGCAACTGCAAGGCAAAGTAGCAATGACTAACTTTAATATAAGAAAACCTGAGAAATACTGAAGGTTACCTAGCTATTTAAGGAGATGGGAGGATGACCTTGGGGTGTGTAGGGTTGTGCTCCACATGATTGAGGGGCACTCCACATGGGCCCCACTTGGACCGAGGTCCTAGTCTCCACACAAAATTATAAGCATAAAGGCTCATGACAGGTGGCACAACACCATCTTTCTTTAATTGTGGCCAACTTTGATGGAATATAGAGATGATGTTAAATCTGTTGGAAAGAGGACTCCAAGAGCTTTCCACCAAGTACTTATGGGCCTGAAAAGGAGCCCGTATGCACATTTGGTAACTGTTTGAATCTAGCATTGTTGTGTGACTTGATCTCGATGTCTCCTCGTTGACCTATGATGTGAGAATTGTCACACATCAAGCAACAATGATGTTTTCCATAGTTTTCACCTACCTCTTAGCTTGAAGTACATCTAGGATCAATGCCTCTCCACGATCCCACCAAATAATTAGGTAAGCTGTTATGCTTTTAGGGTAGAGTATAGGCAGGCCTCGATGCAATATTGTGATACAAGGAACATGTAATATTAGAGCACGGTCGATGGTCTCCTACGGCACCGTGGAAAGTTCCATGTGCCAGTCGATTGATAATTTCGCTAACTTGTTGGCCGACACCATGGTATGACGAGGACACCCAAAAGACCTTGCACCAACTACAGTTGCACTTTTGCATGTGTCCACCATGCACAGGCAGATCCAAGGGTGGTCCCGGGACCACCTAAAAAAAATCCTAGCCCAATGCATATATATACAAAAATGAATTTTTTTGGGGGAAAAAGAAAAAAAGCACCCTTATTAATGCATTTTGATGCACATTTGATCAATTTATACTCCTAGCTTCGTTATATTTAGGGTTTTTTAAAAAAATATATATTGGTTGGACCACCCATAGAAAAACCTAGATACGCCACTGCCAGCATGCGACATTTGTTATAGGACTTTTGTATAGGCGAATATCATGTGGCAAAACAATAATATAGAACACCTCCACCCCTTTAGTCTCATGCAACCCCTTCAGGAGTCATCTCTAATGTAGGTGCATATCCCCTTTTTGAGGTTCTCCGAAAGGTGAATGTTATGTATGCCGTCCTACCGTCAAGGACTGGTTCTTGAAGTGCGCTCACATCATTGCCCTTGAACGTCCTAATATAGCTCCGCCCCAAGTGCTTTCTTGTACAACATCATCCAAACTACACAGTAGCGATTCATCGCCCTTGACCATCCCAATATAGCAAGCTCCATCGCAAGGGCCTTGTCCAATGCGATCGTCCAGCTACAGAGTATCCCGTTATCTATTATGAGCAAAAGGGATCCCATCTTCACCAGTGCCTTTTAAGAGGATCTCTTCCAGTTGGTATATGTCATGCTACACATGAGCTTTGCCTTTTATCCCCAATCCCATTGGCAGATGTACCTTTACTGCGTCGCTGATGATCGGCCCACAGTGAGTTCACTGAATGCCCTGTGCTAAGATTCGTTGCAACTCATTTCTAGACAGCTAAGCATTCCACTCCATTTCGGGTCATCTATGGTAAGGACCTGCTAGTCCTTCATGTCTATGAAGCTGGTTTTGCTTGGGTTGTGGCCATCTTCAATAGCATGATAAGTTTCTGGTGGAGATTGCAGCAGCTGTGGTAGGCTCAAACCACCATGGTGTTTCAACACGATGGCCAGCACTGCGATGTCGATTTCATTGTCGATGAGTTTGTTTGGTTCAACACACAACACTGGCCAGCCTGCTCTTGGCTACCAATACATGGGTGCAAGTGGTGCAAAGTTACAAATTAGTTTGCGGTTTGCCCGTGCACTGTACGGATTTTCGATTGTACAGATGAATTTATCGGTCTTTGTTGTCTTGTTCTTTTGGATGGCAGTTTGGTACGAGTTATCTCATTAAGTTCTATCGTTAACTAAAATCTGATGAGTTCCATTATTCCCGTTCATTAATTGTATATGATGATGATGATGTATTCTGCTTCACAGGAGATCACATCAGCCCTTGTAGCAGATGGTGTATCACCAGATAAAATCTTGACCAACTATTAGCAAGGATTGGCGAGCCTCCTGTAAAGCTCAGTGCTTCCTTTGGCCTCAAGATGTTCTTTTTTCTGTTGTATTTTAGCTGTTCTCGTCCTATAGTTTTTTATATTTCTCAGCACATAGATATGTATACATTATAATCATTCTTCAGAGTATGGCCACCTTTTCAGGCCATGTAAGCATTGAGCTCCAGGCTTATTTGCAGTTATGCGGTCCCTTGCGGAACTTGCAAATAGCAGAGTAACATTTGGCAACTCTTCGGCTCTTGTATTATTGGCAAGAGAACATGGTGGTGTTTGGTTCAATAATGTTAACGTAAACGTAATTGGGAATGCTTCCGCCGGTAACCGATTACGTGCTTTGTCTGGATAGTTGCTGTAACGGATACCAATTCATTCGCGCTGTTTGGTTAGGCAGCCAGGTAACAGACTAACAGGTGCAAGCAAAACATGTGTCGGTTGAGAAATCAAATTCTGAAACTGATACACAACGAGAAAATACATAATATGGAGACTTCTGTTTGGATGCAAATGCAGTGAACAAGCACAACACTGTCACTTCTATTTGGATGCAAATTTTGACAGCAAGAATTCAAGACAAGAGATAATATTTTGCAAAATATAATCAATGGCACACCTTCAAAATTCAATCGATAAAGGATTGGATGAACAATTGACATGAGTGAAACTACCAGATTAGTTAACAAATAAGCTAGGGTAGTACTTTTGTCTTAAAAATAGGACAGTACTTTGATCACAGAATATGTACAAGGAATTGGTAGAAAAGCTTTGTTTTCTTGAACCACTTTTTTATAGGTGCAAGCAAGCAAGAAAGGCATAGGCACATACTCCAGCTAGGAGTAGTTTGGAGTGAATTATGCCTCCTTAGGTTAATTCCTATGGCATTGAGCTGGACAGCTGGACCCATACATGCATTATAATTGTTCATGGTTTCAGACAAATAGTATATAAGGCAATAAAAGGTATTTGATGCGAATTTGTTCACAGTGAATGCATATATGAAATGCTAAAGTAGTAAAATGCAATATGCTTACAATTAATGACCTCAAAATAAAGTATGTAATACAACATGCAAATGTGTATAGGGAATTACCAGCAAGTATTTTCAGGACGTACTCCCTCCTGAGAGATTCTGGAAGAGCAAGAAGCATACTCATTTGAGCCGGCACTTTTACAAAAGCAGCTGCATCATTGACAACTTCAGTACCAGTCAATCCAAGCTTTTGACACTCAAGAATAGCTTCATTCTGAATTTTTTGTAGTGGGTCCTCCTCAACCATTGCCTTCTCTTGGATCTCAGCTTCATGTTGCATAGATGCCACCATTGCTCCCACATGCTTTGTAACATCCCTCAGATCACCTTGAACATTGGCAAAGACATCCATAAAAGGGTCACTTGACAAGGTATGTTTCAGTTTGTTGCTGTCTTTCTTCCGCTTCTTAGAGCTTGAAGCAGTTGAATCGATGCTCCGCCGAGGTGCAGCTGAATCGATGATCCGCCGAGGTGCAGCTGAATCGATGCTCCGTCGAGGTGCTGATGAATCAACGCTCCGTCGAGGCGTTTCTCTAGACACTCTCTCTTCATCCTCCTCATCCTCTTCATCTTGAATATCTCGAACAATTTCTTTCTCCATATTAGCAACAGCCTCACCAAAACCCTCTGCACCTTCTCCAGTAGCAATGTCTTTACCATAAATTGCAGCTAGTGTATCATAGTGAGGGAATGCTACACCATACAGACCCTTTGCCTCATTGTTTTTCTGTAAAATACAAAGAATGACACAAAATTAAGGTCATGGTTTAGCAAGCAGAAGAGAGACCTATGCAGCTACTGTGACATATCAAAAATGCAACAATTACATGAAAAACACAAGAGAACATATTTATGAGAGAGCATACTACAAGAAAACCATAATGTTGTCTTCGCAAACATTTCAAAGGAATTTTACATAGCCTCTTATTTGGAACAAAATTTCAGAAAATATCTTACAGTTAGTTTCACATATTTCAATTCAATGCACTAATGAATCAATAAATAAATTTTGTATTCCATATAATTATATAGTTAGTTTGATGACTTACCCTGCAATGATCATCGTATTGTTGTTTCTCACATTGTATCATCTTTCTGTTGTCATCCCAAGAAAAGCCACTTTTGGTTAGCATCACTTCAATTGCCCCAAACTTGGTCCTAAAGTGTCTTACTCTCGACTCGATGTGCGGAACAGCAGTAAGGCCAGAATTTGGCAACTTCTTAGCAAGCACGTTCTCTAGAACTTGGCAGTATCCATTTTTGAAACCCCCTTCTGATTTCCAGCTTGGATCTAAAGCAATCTCGAACAGTGCCTTGATCAGTTCCTCATCCTCGAAGTACGTCCAAATCCTCTTGTTATTGCCTCTCCCACGCACAATGCTTGAGCTTCCAAGATGCTCCATAACTGCAATATTAGAAATTCAACAGAAAACTAACATCAGTGAGCGTCCATAGTTGTACCAACATTTGTTTTTAGTTCTGATTTGCAATCAATTAGAAATTCCATTTAAAACACAAACCTCAATGAGCCCTATAGCTATTATACATCCCTTGAGCAAGAGTGTTGCGAAAATTCGTCCAATCATCAGATGTCGAAATAGCTGAGATAAACTCAGGTTCAGCGAGTTCTCCCTTAAGTATATCCGACAGTATCTCATCCTCATCCTCAAATGGATCACTAGACATCTTTTGCAAAATTAAGTTGTGCAATAAAGCACATGCCATTATAATTCAACACTGAGTTTTGATAGGAAAATAGGATGGAGACCTCAAAATCGCTCAACGACCCTTTAGTCTTCCAAAAGACCTCTCTATAATATTTCTAGCACTTGTGTGCCTCATGTTAAAGTACTCCTCTGCACTACATGGTCGGTCAAGTGCTGTGAAACGACCTAAATGATATCTTTGGCCTCCGTAAGGGGCTAAAAAACCATTTGCATTTATATAACCAGCATCAACAAAGTAATAGCAACCTTTAAAAGTGATCTCTCTTTGTTAGTTCATAGATTGAATGTAATAGAGAGACATCTGCTCTTGGGTTGGTTGAACTTGTTGTAAATATTTCTTTATATTTTAATTAATTTTACTATGGGGGCTTCCCCTACAGTGTTTCCCTAAAAAAATAGCAACCTTTAAAATTAAAAAAAAAGAAATATCAGTATAATTCAGGCTGTGGAGTGTCACACTTCAAAATAAATTTATTGGAAAAAAAACTCGCCTTGAGGGACACGAAGCCCATCCGACCTGTGAATTGCATCATGAAGGACACAGCCATCATGTTCAGAACCCTCCCAACTGGGTAGTAAGTAAATGAACTGCATATCGGGTGCACAAACACCTAATACATTTGCAACAATGTCTCCTTTTCTTGACCTATATCTTCCTTTTATCCTGGTTGGGACAGTTACTTTTATGTGTGTACCATCCAATGCACCTAGGCAATTCTACAATCTAGAACACCACATCAATAAAATATGGTACAATTAATAGTGGTGAGATGTGATTTTTTTTGAAAGGAAATGTGATTTATTTTTTAGAATGGGTTGCATTGAAATACTTCCATCTATCGTCGGTGGTGTCCTCAGGTATAGGTTCTGGCTTCTTAAGGCCTTGTTTAGTTTCCAATTTTTTTTCCCAAACACGTCACATCGAATCTTTGGACATATGCATGGAGCATTAAATATAGATAAAATGAAAAACTAATTGCATAGTTTGCATGAAAATCGCGAGACAAATCTTTTGAGCCTAATTAGTCCATTATTAGCCATTAGTGCCACAATAATTTACATGTGCTAATGATGGATTAATTAGGCTTAATAAATTTGTCTCGCGGTTTCCAGGCGAGTTATGAAATTAGTTTTTTCATTCGTGTCCGAAAACCCCTTCCAATATTCGGTCAAACGTCCGATATGACATCCAAAAATTTTCTTTTAGCGAACTAAACAAGGCCTAAGTAGAAGTTGATGAAGCTTCAGAACAGCTAGCAGTCATAAATTGAAATGCCTACTTACAGTCTCTCCATTTCGGTAAAAAAAACTTTCCTATTGTTCTATTCTTTAAATGGTGAGATAGTATATATAAGAATGAAGCTACCGATCCCTCCGACGTCTCTAAGCATGTCACATAGAATGTGAAATGTCCTCCTGTCCATTCGGAGCTCGCTTATACAAGCAATATCACTCTCACGAATAAGCTGGAATAGTCTTTCACTCCTAAGTTCTCTAATTTTGATCCTCCTCTCTATTTTCCAACATTTTCTCTTATATGAAATCAAAAACAGTACAGCAACATAATATTACATAAATATGACAGCAATCATCATATTTCTAAGCCCTAAATTTCGGCTCTTGTATTATTGGCAAGAGAACATGACTAACCTCATTGAGCGACTTCAACAGGGTAATAGCCATTGCCAGTTACCGATATAAAAATACAACTATCGGATCATTCTTAGTTGTATTAGAGCGAATACAGTAAGACGATGTAAGCGGACCATTAATATCGCATTAGATTTGTGCTCAGCTAGCAAAGGGAGGAGAGTTGAGTATAGATTTGTCTCCCTACCTCAGATGGCATGGTAAAACAGTGAAATTGTAGCCCAACTTAACACGAGCCCTAACAAGTTGTGGGAGAGTGGTGTGCTAGATATTAATAGTGTGGCATCTATACCTTACAATTTATGTTTATATTACTAGAACAGATGATATGTCAACTTTTGTAGCTACACGATAAATATGTACTTAGATTGGCAGGATTTTCACGAGGAAATGTGATGTGGACAAGGGTTCCCGATTTTTCGAAAGGTTCGGATAATCAACGATTTGGTGGAGTCATGACACAAATCGATCCGGCTTCTTGAACGAGCACGTTCTTGAGCCCCGCAATCGCAGCACCACGTCTCCTCTGGTTATCAACAGTGCCGAAACCCGGTTGACCTCGCCGAGAAGGCTAATCCCTGCTTATGAATTGAAGAACAAAAACAAGAACAAGAAAGAATACAACCAAAATTGCAGATGAATGATTAAGCTCACAAGTTGGGGTCTTACAAACCGATCTAGCGGCGAAACTATTCTTGATAGATTAATCTAAAAGGTGAATTAGGAATTTATCTGGTAGGAGATGATAGTCTTTTCCCCTGGAGATGGAAAATTCGTCCACCCGGTTTTATTAATTTGCAAATTCTTCCTCAGCTAGTAAAAAAAATGAAATTGGCTGATATCATGACGATATTAGGTAGTATAGATATCATTATGGGAGAAGTTGATCGTTGAAATGATAATAGACAGGGTACATGTAGAAGCTATCAATTCTTTTTCGAACTTGGAATTATTAAAAGAAGTCTATGGACTGATATGGATTCTACCCATTTTGACCCTCTTACTGGGAATCACAATAGAATAGTACTCGTAATTGTGTGGTTAGAAAGAGAAATATCCGCATCGATACAACAACGTATTGGTCCTGAATATGCTGGCCCCCTGGGACTGCTTCAAGCTATAGCAGATGGAACTAAGCTACTTTTTAAAGAGGATATCTTGCCATCCCGAGGGGATATTCCCTTATTTAGCATTGGACCGTCTATAGCAGTCATATCAATTTTATTAAGTTTTTTAGTTATTCCTTTGGGATATCGCTTTGTTTTAGCGGATCTTAGTATTGGTGTTTTTTTATGGATTGCCATTTCAAGTATTGCTCCTATTGGTCTTCTTATGGCAGGATATAGCTCAAATAATAAATATTCTTTTTCAGGTGGTCTACGAGCTGCCGCTCAATCTATTAGTTATGAAATCCCATTAACTTTTTGTGTACTAGCAATATCTCTACGTGCGATTCGTTAAAATAGGATGTTTTTCCTCTGAAATTCATTGAATATTTATCCTCCTTTTCTTATTCTATATTCAGGTTAGTAAGTTAAACTAGATAGCTATATGAGTGAAACAAAACTGCTTATTAATTTGTAGTAAAAAGAAAAAATCTCATTTCCTATGTACAAGAAAAAATGGAAGTAAACATAAGCGGTGTAAATTCTTTACCCCAAGGTTGAGATTTTTTGATTAGTCATCATATCTTGAAGCGGGCAATAATAAGAGATTCCTGATACAGAAAGTTGTAATCATAAGGGAATCCATCAAAAGTTAGTGAGGGATTAGAAACACTAAAGTACATAAAGGATTAGTAATGAGGGAATCTAAAGCATTAGATATTTTTCCTCATAAAAGGAATCATAATAAGGACTTGAAATTGGTGGAAATGAGCAAGTAGTACTTTCTTCGGATTCCGATCCAGAGTATGTTCCCATTCACTTGTTAAGGAAATGGCTATCAAGAACGAATTAACCCTTTATTCCTTTTTTCTTTTTAAATACTCCTCGGGGAAAGAAGAATAGGACAAAAGATATGGAATGCAATAAAAAAAAGATCTTTATTTATTCTTTCCATCGTTTATCCATATTCATACAGAATTCTTCATGAACTAATACCCAACTCTTTTCGTTTATTAATTGTTATAACGAGTGTTTTATTCCAAGATTAAGTTATTGTTGAACAAAGAAAAAGTACCATTATATTATAAAGGATGAGATGAATTCCGAAGCGTTTTTTATTATTCTAGCAGATAGAATTCCTTTGGTCTAATTTAGGACGTTGAAATCGATTTTATCTTAGATAATTCTAACTACGCCCAAGAAGATAATAACGAAATGAAACAATACTTTCCTTTTTTCCTGATCATAGAGGAGCTGTATGAAACTAAGGTTTCATGTACGGTTTTGGAATAGCGGTGGGAACTGGGATGTTATCGTCGACTATGATTATCCAACAGTTCAAGTACAGTTGATATAGTTGAAGCACAGTCAAAATATGGTTTTTTTGATGGAATCTTTGGCGTCAGCCTATAGGTTTTCTGATTTTTCTAATTTCTTCTTTGGCGGAATGTGAAAGATTACCCTTTGATTTACCAGAATCGGAGGAAGAATTAGTAGCAGGTTATCAAACCGAATATTCTGCTATCAAATATGGTTTATTTTATCTTGTTTCTTACCTAAATTTATTAGTTTCCTCTTTATTTGTAACAGTTCTCTGCTTAGGCGGGTGGAATTTGTCTATTCCCTATATATCCTTTTTTGGATTTTTCCAAATGAATAAAATGGTTGGAATTTTAGAAATGACAATGAGTATCTTTATTACATTAACTAAAGCTTATTTATTTCTCTTCATTTCTATCACAATAAGATGGACTTTACCCAGGATGAGAATGGATTAGTTATTAAATCTTGGATGGAAATTTCTTTTACCTATTTCCCTGGGCAATCTCTTATTAACAACTTCTTCCCAACTTGTTTCACTATAAAATAAGATAATACAATAACAGTAAGAATATTTTCAACACAAAAGTTCTCTCAAACAAGAGAAAGAAACATACCTTTTTCATAGATATTTCGAATATGTTCCCTATGGTAACTGGGTTCATGAGTTATGGTCAACAAACAATACGCACAGCAAGGTACATTGGTCAAAGTTTCATAATTACCTTATCCCACACAAATCGTTTACCTATAACGATTCACTACCCCTATGAAAAATCAATTACATCGGAGCGTTTCTGGGGGCGAATCCACTTTGAATTTGATAAATGTATTGCTTGTGAAGTATGTGTTCGCGTATGCCCTATAGATCTACCTCTTGTGGATTGGAGATTTGAAAAGGATATTAAAAGGAAACAATTGCTTAATTATAGTATTGATTTCGGAGTTTGTATATTTTGTGGTAATTGTGTTGAGTACTGTCCTGTTTATCAATGACTGAAGAACATGAACTTTCTACTTATGATCATCATGAATTGAATTACAATCAAATTGCTAAACCCAAACCCTAGAGATGACGACGGGTATTGATATATAGAGTTTAGGGTTGTGCAAACAACCCTTGATGCAACCCTAATGGGTTCCAACATGATACACGGCCCACAAGCCCAAATACGACGTCGTAGCGCCGGAACAGATTCTAAACGTCAAATTGTTCGGTCAATTCCCGAAGGAGTGATGTCCGCATCAAAATGAGTGGTTCACATAGCCTCATGGACAAGGACAACTGTGTTTGTTTCAGTTTTTACTACCTCCCTTCTATAATGGATTAAAATCCTTTATATTTTGGGACATATGTAGACTTTGCTTGTTTGGGGAGTATTTGATTTGTAGCTACTAATTACTATTTGGCTGATGAGAATGTAGCTAGGAAACTTCTCTCAAACTACCGATAGGTGGAAAAGGGCGCGTTATCAATGTGAGATCGATCCGGAGGAATCCCCTCGACATAATGGTTCGGGTATATATTTTACAACAATTGTATGATTTTTGGAGTAGTCGATGCTACGAGCCCTCCAATCACAAGCAGGGCCACATGTTCGTGTAATCACGTATCCAAAATACTCATGGATTTACGGTTACGCCGCAATCAGTTCTATCCCAGTATCCTGTTACTAGCACCATTGCATCCTCGTACGATCCAGCCTCCTTTGTGATAGGTCACTCGAACATGGCTGCTGCCCTGATTGCACTCCAATGCATCAGGTCCAGTTCATCCCTCTCACCGTGTGATGCTGCGTGGCCTGAGTGAGTATGGGTTTCCACATAAAGAATTCTTTGCACCAAATTACAAGTTGTTGAGTTCCTTGTTCATTGGGATTTAGAGCAAAAGGAGATTTTACTAACTTAATTAAAGTAGGTCTTTGAGCAAAATCTCAACTACGGTGTTTCTTGGCGCGCGCACTCAATCAAACCTTGTGAAACCTGCTTTGCACAAGGATGAGCCTAAGTATACAATGGTGACTAACAAAATTAATATCAAAAGAAAAAAAATGATGGTGACTAACAAAATTAATATCAAAAGACAAACGATCTGCTAAACTCCTTAATCTCGGCCGAAATGGATATATGATATTTTCCTGCACGAGGAAGCGCACGGCACAACCAACATTTTGCTATCATTTTTCCATATCGGGAAATATTATGCGGGGCATGAGTGGCGAGCGAGGGGGCGTGCCACGTCAGCGAAAAGCTAGTCCTACAGTGCCCGGGTTGGTTTTTTTGCGAGAAAGCCCTTCGGTTTGTTCGTAATTCCGAGTAGGTCCCTGCCGAACGGTGCCCCTGAGGCGATATTGTGCGTAAGGGCCCTTCTAAAATCCGGATATTACATGCGCAGGAGGGGACAAACGCGAAATAGGAGCGTTCTGTAAAAATAGAAAGTCGAGGGTCTTTTTCGAAAAAGTTCCGCGCACTAACCCCAGCCCTAGCCACCTCCCCCGCCTCTCCTCGACTCCTCCCTCTCGTCCTGCGCCGTCACTCTCCCTCTCACGCCGCCGTTGCCGCCGCCTCCCCCTCGCGCCGCCGCGTCCGCCGCCGCGTTCACCTCCGCCGCGGCGGCCGCATCCAGCTCCCCCGCCGCGGCGGCCGCCTCCTTCTCGCTCCGGCGCGGCCGCGCTCGCTGCTCTCTCTCCCTCCCATCTCGCCCTTGTTCCGCCGCGTCCACCACCGTTGCGGCGGCCGCGTTGGCCTCCGCCCCGGCGGCCCCGTCCAGCTCCGCCGCCGCCGCGTCCACCTCCTTCTCTCTCCTCGCTTGCGCTAGCTGCTCTCTCTCCCTCCCATCTCGCCCTTGCTTGCTGCTGGAGCTCGAGGGGAACCCTATCCTAGCCTAGCAGTGCGTGCGTGCGAGCGAGCGCCGCGGGGGCGTCCCGGGGGAGGGCGAGGGCGTGCGCCGCCGATCCGATCCGCTTCGCCGCCCTAAGTTCCGAGGCCGTTCGAGGTAGGTCTCCGTCCGACTTCTACCTCAGCGCCCTCTCCGCCGCATCCAGGGACTCCGCCGCCGCCGCCAACCCCGCCTCCGATCCCAGCCTCTTCGAATCCGTAAGCGCATCTCCCTGCAACCCCATTGGTCGTTTTCCTTGGTGTTCGAATCACGTTTTGGCTTGTTGACTCGTGTGGCTTTGCGGTGTCAAGGTGACGGCGGTGTGCGAGATGTGGAGGTCAAGGGAGGCAGGGACGAGATGGTGGCACGGACATTCCCGGTGATGAGCAGGTTGCCCTCGTTCTTTCGTTTATCTTCCGGACTTATGAGTAAACACTAAACACAATGCGTTTGTCCAGAGGGCTGGTAGCACTAAACTACCATTTCTTTTTTAGTTGTTGCCATGTTGGCATATTCATGTCATATTATCCTATTTGTGATTTCTGACAGCATCTTGTGGATTCAGGGCAATTATATTTGATTATATTTAAATATGGCGTTGCTATTTTCCAGTTGATAGTCTGATATTGTGCGCTTGTATACCCTTCTGGAACTTCTGGTTTTCGGATTCATTGGTTACATTTTAAGGGCTAATATGAACTATATTGTAGACAGTACAAGTACAAGTCAATGTATGAAGCAAGTATGCACCACATTGTGTGAAATGTTTATTTTATTAGGTTTTAATAAAGGTGGTAGTTGAAATGGGTCAGCTTATCGAAGATATTACATTGAAAAGTAGAGTGCGGGCACGATACTCCTGAATATTTATACAGAAGTAAAACTATGCTGCCTTCGTCGTAGAATATTGATGCGTAGTACCATAAATTTGATAAGATTAACTACATTTTAGATCAGAGCGAGTAAAAATTTATGCCCATTCCGATTTTTATGGAAATTATAGGAGTTTTATATGATTCCAACCCATTAGAAAAGAATATTCTATAGATCACTTTGAAACATAAGATTACATATTATTTTCTATTTTGAAACTTCTGATATTAAATGACAATTCTACATAGAGATTTTGGAGTAGATTCATGAGGTTGTCATGCTTGGGGAAATTTTTGTCAGCTACAACTTTTCCTAGAATTTGAAGTTCTCTTAAATAATTTAGTTTTTTTATTCAGATTTCAAGAAGTTGTAGTTGTTAAATCAATAAAATAAATTAAAAGTCAGAGGTTAGGAAAATCAGATTCTCATTAGCTAGATTTTTGCTACCCTAGATAGTCTAATTTTTTTCCCTTTGTCTTCCGCAATGGGTGCCCTCGCCAACCACAACTGTAAATTCACCTCATACCTGCATTATCTTTGTTGATAGGCACTGATTACTTCCAATCATGTGGGTGCCCATTTAGTTGCAACAAGTGGCATTGAGGCACAGTTATATCTGCAGATTATATAGCTTCAGGGTCAGTACACAGCTCAAAATATCTATTTTGGGCGCTCTGCATGAGGAATATGATCACTAAAACATTTGAGCTATTCCTATGTCATGTTACTGAGCAGTTATCAGATATTTGACAAGAAAAATAAGCAGTGATATATTGAATATTGTTACCACCTTACTTTTTATTTTTTTGGGTTAGTGATCAGGTCGCTGAGGGCAGGTGCATACTTAATAAAATGATACTGCATTATGCAAGATCATCAGTGCATGTAGTGCTTCAGTGTGGTCACATGTACAGCATAGAGTTGCCATAACATGCTAGATTATCCTCTGGGAATTCTACAGTTAATTATCTTGGTTTCCTCATCAGCTTGCTTATTTATTTTAATTAACTATTAGATTAGAATAGTTATGTAGGTGTGAAAAAAATCCTTGTGATTGCAGATTTGTTTTGCTTAACTATCTTATCCTCCAATCCTTCTTTTGATTTAGGGGATGCACTTGTTATCTGAATGTATTCACCAGGAAATTGATTTATTAGAGGTAGATTGTTACATGATGACTACTATGAAAGACGGTATATATGCTTTACTGTTGTTCTGAATGTTTCCCCTTCTATCATTACAGCAGGATGGTAAATGCAAGAAGCCAAAGGGAAGTATAAGGTTGTACTATTGGGCTTTTCATGCATCAAGAGGTGGGTATTCCTGATCATTAGGTCACTGAACTACAGATTTGATAGTTAATTCTCCCACTGTTTCATGTTGAAAACCACCACTTGAGTTGATTTATGGTGGCCCTTATTCCTGTTACATGCGAGTTTATATAAATGAAACTGTCTAATTCAATCCTTCGTATAGTTTACTGTCCTAGACAAATTAAATGTGTTCTGTTCCTTTTTGCATGTGATTCTCTGGCTAATTACCTTTATTCAGCCCATATCCTTCCACCATACAGTAATTCATGGCCTGGATTTTCTACAGCTTGTATGGATTTGGTTGTTCTATATAGTGCAGTGAAAATATAAAGTTTATGCCTTGTAACATCATCTATACAGTCAATGTAGTTTACAATTTAAAGGCTATGGCACCTTTGCGTAAGGGTTCCACTATTTGTTTGGCACACTGCTTCCAGATTAAAGCAAATATCTAGATAGGTAGATCAAAGCCTTTGTTGAAGGCAAGTGTTCCCGATGGGGAGATTTCAAGAAACTTGTGTTACATGAAGATCGGCGGGCTCTTTCTGAGGCAGTATATGTTAGGTGTATCCTGGAGTCCTTTTTACTGGAGATTATATGCACAAAATTCATCATAATTCACTTGCATACTAAATTCAGTGCATTGTGTTGATGCCTATAAGTATCACATACATTAGGCCCAACAGAATTTAGTTGAGTGCACTGCTAGGTTACCAAGATGCATATGCTGCAAAATAGGACACAATAACAGTTTAGCTTTTCTTGAGCTAGGGAATTTGTGTTCTACCTATGGTAGAGTCTTTGTTTGAGCTATCAAAGTAATTGAAGAACCTCTGTTCGATCCTTGTCATTGTGTGTTGTTCGGGTTAGGTCCTTTCCCATTTATCTTCTTCGAGCCAGCATCTTTGTTGTCTTTTTTGCTTACCTGTGCGCTACAATTTGGTGTGCTTTTTTGTTCTATATGCTATAGCATCTAGATCACGTTTATATTGCCTGCAGGTTGTATGGCGGATCCTATTTGATCGATTGTTCCCTTGCCTAACTCTGTCAAGGATAACAAGAATAATAGCCTCATTAAGGTATTCATCTCTCTCTCTCTCTCTCTCTCTCATATTATATTTTTTAGACAGTGGATAGAAATCCGGCTATATATGCTGTATATATGTATATATATTTTTTCCTCTGTGTGTCTTCTGAAGGGGCCAAAAAAATGTGCCTTGCAGAAGGAAGGAAGCAACAGTGGGAAGGGTGCAGCAACATCTAATGATCTAGAAAGAGAAGGAAGGAGGACACTAGACCCTAAGGTTAGTGAGTCAATCATCCATCCAGCCATACCTTTGATACATTTGATGATCTCCCTCCGCAGCACTTCAACAGCACACAAAAGTGCATAAAAAAGTAATTAGGAGGTTGAACGATCCCTGTCTGCAGGAAATAACCTGCATATTTTATGACTTTTTTTTTGAGACTGACAGCTTGATTGTGTGAATATGTGTGTGTATATATATGCACATTCTGCAGACACTGAGGAGGCTTGCACAGAATAGAGAGGCACCAAGGAAAAGTAGCCTTAGTAAGAAGGTTAGTCGGTCAACCAAGAAACTCAACAGCTTATTAATTCAAGCTAGCAGAAAGGAATCTCTCCTGCATGTACTGTGTGTGTGTGTTTTTGTATATATATGTGCTTGCAGAAACGTACAATACTTTACGAAAAGTACAAACATATATCCTAACAATAATGTTAGTGTATATGACATGTACATGTTGTTCACGCAAGTGCTGTCATATGTGCTTTTGTTATCAACTTTATTTGTTTTGCTACATGCATGCATGGAGTGCTAGCTCGCGATTAAATGTGCTGACCGACTTTGTGATGCGGTTGTTTTTGGCTCTTTCTTTGGGACTTATGTGCTGAAGGACATAGTTATTTTTACTGGCTTTATTGTGAATTTGACCGGCCTACCAATGCAAGAAACATTATCACTTTTCATATGTGCATTTCCAATTTCTTTATGGTCTCAGGTGTGAATTATATATTATGATGGTCCTGGCTATTTGAAACATGAGTCTTATCTTATGATGGTACTGGCTATTTGAAACATGGGTCTTATGTATTATGCGGTGAGTCTTATATTATTAGGGTGCTGGCTATTTGAAACATGAATTATATATTATTTCATTTCATATGTTTGTTTTATGGACACATACGAGCACAAGTTGATAAGTTCTGCTAAAATTTAATGTGGCTTTATATACTATTTGTATTGATGAGTATATATATACACTGCTTTATTGTTCAGGCTTACATTCAACAGTTGAAGTCAAGTAGGATTAGGCTAAGCCAGCTTGCACAGCAAGTTCACGTGGCAAGAGTACAGGTAAAAAGCTAGCCTTGAAAATGTCTGATTATTAGCATATTAATTATATCTCCCAGCATTCTTTTGTATATACATTACTCTCTGCTATCCTATTTGATCAACGGAGGTATATACATTACTCTCTGTTATTTTGTGTGTTAATCAATTGTTCATCCATTATGTTTATTTTGTTGGCTATGTGTTGTTTTAATATTCGTTGCATTGTTACTCTCTTTGCGTTTAGTCGCTCTATGGAGGGGGGTCATGTGATTGCACCTCTTCGTCGACGGGACCGCCGATTGCTAGAACGCCATAGTGCTTCTCTTAGATGTATGCTTTATCATCATTTGTTCCTTTGTAGCTGGTTTGTGATCTGCCACAGCTTGTTGTGTGTCATCGTTAAATTGTTTGTTTCCTGTTTAGCGTGCTCTCCTGTTTCGGCTGGTGGTGAATATGCCTGGGAAACAGTTGCTACGCAGCGTAAAAGTATGTGCGTTGTTTGTTCCTATTGTGCTGCTGTTGTGCCCCATCGCTGCTCACCCCTCTGTTTGTTTATGTGATTTCCCCCCCTCCACTAGATGATGGGTTTTTCCCTATTTATCCTGCTTGGTACTCTTCGAAGAGACGACAGATACGATCAAAAAAATTGGCTCTCAAACGACTGGTGGCTGCAGGTCTTTATGCTTGGTATTTTTTTTACTTCCCTTCATATGTCCCTGTCAGCCTCTCTTATTTGCAGGTTGTCTGTTGATTTTTCCTGTAGGTAAAAGGCTTTCTCGTATATCGTCCCTGTCTTCCAATAGGTTTGATAGTGATTACGGCAAATTTTTAAAAAGTTATTTCCACTTTATTTTACCCCTTTCCATGCCTTAGTTTATCGTGCACCGACATTATATCTAAATATAGATATGTTTTTGACCTGCATGTGCATATAGAGACGTCGAAGGATATAACTCAGTGCCGCATGTGTGGTGCTCAGTTCTGGTACCAAGAACGATGCAAGAGAGATTCAGCTATAACTCAGCGCCGTATGTCTTATAGTCTTTGTTGCAAAGGCGGCAAAATTTTTGTTCCTCCATTTGCACAACCACCAGAACCTTTAAATTCGCTTTTGAAGTTCGATGGGGATGCTCGAAGCAGGCATTGTTTGCAGCACATAAGGCAGTACAATTCGCTGTTTGCTTTCACTTCAATGGGTGCAAATATTGACGATAGCTTAAATCGCGGTGGCGGTCCTTATGTCTTTAAAATAAATGGTCAAGTACATCATCGTATAGGCTCACTTTTACCTAGCGAAGAAACCCCACTAAAGTTTGCTCAACTATATATTTATTATGACACTCAAAACGAGATCGAGAATAGGATGCGTGCTCTTCTTAATGAAGAAGTCGAAGACTGTGATTTAGATCCTCAGATTGCTGCTGAATTGCTAGATATGCTGGACAATTGTAATCCTTTGGTTAAGCAATTCAGGATTGCTAGAGATCGTTTAGCTGATAATGGTGATGAGCAGTTCGCAATTAGAATAGTCGGTTCAGATGAGAATGGGCCTGTTCAGTACGAATTGCCAACAGCCGATGAACTTGCTGGGTTAATTGTAGGTGATTTTTCGTTGGAGAATGCAAAGCGCGATATAATTGTCCAAAGCATTCCTGGCCCACTCCATGTTTCTAGCTTACATCCTGCTTATATGGCCTTGCAGTATCCACTTCTGTTTCCTTATGGTGAGCGTGGCTTTCAGCTTGGTTATAAATTTAAGAGGGGTAGACTTGAATCGTACCGATATACGAACAAAGGCTTCTATGCAAGAGCATTACTGTTACTGCTGCCATTATCGTCGAGATCAATTTAATCCTTATTTATGTTGCGGTCGTTTATCCTCTCAAGGCCAAGTAGATGGTTATGCTTGTGTTGAAGAGGGTAGATTAACATTCATAGCTGACCAGCAACGTGAACTTAGATGCGAACACATGCAAGGAATTACAGATGCAGTTGCTAAGGGTTCCTTAGATGGTGCGAGCGTAGGTAAGCAACGAATACTTCCTGCAAGCTTCACTGGTGGTAGGCGATACATGTACCAGAATTATCAGGATGTAGTGGCTATTTGCCGTGCCTATGGCGCACCTGATATTTTTACAACTTTTACCTGCAATCCAAAGTGGCAAGAAATTGAAGATGCGTTGCAGTTCGAACCAGGCCAGGGTTTTTAAAATGAAACTTGATGAAATGGTTTCTGACATTATGTCTGGTGTTCCCTTTGGGCGTGTGCGTGCTGGTTAGTTCCCTTTTTTGCTATTTCTTTGGTTTGCATTTTTTGTTGTGTTATTAATTTTGTTCGGTTGGTTTTCCTACCATATGGTGTAGTGCTTTACAGCGTGGAGTTTCAGAAGAGAGGCCTCCCGCACGTCCATATACTGGTGTGGCGTGATGCGCCAAGCACCGATGCAACACCATCTATCGTCGACACATACATCAGTGCTGAACTCCCTGATCCTAACGAAAACGAACTTGATTATTTGTTGGTCAAAGAATTTATGATGCATGGCCCATGCGGTGATAGCAATAGAAAATGCCCTTGCATGAGAAATGGATCCTGTTCTAAAAAATACCCAAAGGATTTTAACTCTGAAACAACAGTAGATGACAAGGGATTTGTTGTTTATAGGCGGCGTGACAATGGTTCGCATGTGCTTAAAAATGGTATCAAGCTTGATAATCGTTCGGTCGTGCCATACAATGTGTCATTGCTGCGTAAATTTGAGGCTCATATAAATGTTGAATGGTGCAACAAATCAAAGATGATCAAGTATCTATTTAAGTATGTAACAAAAGGACCCGATCATGCCAATATAAAATTTTCTAGGATCAAAAAAAGAAAGCTGAGTCGTTGCGATTGATGATACTGGTTCATCAGGTTCTAGAAAAAAGATGCGTGGTTCTGATTTTACTGTGCCAGCACCGATAGATGAAATAGCTGACTTCATTGAGTGTCGATATTTATGTGCCAACCAATGTATTTGGAGATTGTTTGAGTATGTTATTCACTTTAGGAACCCTCCTGTTGAGCGTTTAGCATGCCATTTACCAAACATGAACACGGTTAGCTTTAGATCAGACGCAAACCTGGCATCGGTGGTTTCAAATGCATTCTTACAAAAAAAACAACATTAACTGAATGGTTTGTTGCTAATGATTTGTTCCCAAAAGGACGTGACTTAACATACTGCGAGTATCCTACTCGATTTACTTGGGAAGAAAATTCAAGGAGCTGGAAAGAAAGCCGGCATGGTTATAAAATCGGTCGAATGTACTATGTCCATCCTTCTGCAGGTGAAGGGTATTTCATGAGAATGCTGCTTATGTATGTGAGAGGCGCTAGGAGCTATGCAGATATTAGAACATACAATGATGTCGTATACGATACATTTAAGGAGGCTTGTGCTGCTAGAGGGTTGCTTGGTGATGACAGAGAGTGGTCATTTGCATTTGATGAGGCTGTGAGCTGGGGGACCGGGCCGCAACTCAGATCGCTCTTTGTGCTCATGGTTGTTCATTGTGGTATTGCTGATGGAGCTGCATTTTTCAATAAACATTGGCATGCGATGTCTGATGATATTCTCTTTGATTTGCAACAAAGCTTAAATAATGCTGCATATTCTGTCCCTGATAATGAACTTAGAAATATGGTTCTGCAAGAATTACACATGCTTTTCTTCGCAATGGTGTTGCTATGTCATCTTTTAATTTACCTACTGTGAATTGCGATGGTTCCTTTGGATCAGCAAATAGATTGATCGATGATGAAATGTCTTATGATATAGATGATTTGTGTGCTAATGCTCCGTTATTATGTAGCAAGCTTAATACTGACCAGCGAAATGCATATGAACGCATTGTGCAGAGTGTCATGACAAAATCACCTGCTTTCTACTTTGTGTCTGGCTTTGGTGGTACTGGGAAAACATTTCTCTGGAATTGTATTGTTACCTACCTTAGGTCTGAAAAAAAGCTTGTTCTTGCTGTTGCATCATCTGGAGTTGCCTCTTTGCTTTTGCCGGGTGGTAGGACTGCTCATTCACGATTCAAAATCCCGATAGAAATTGATGAAACAACAATTTGCCATATAAAGCGTGGTACAATGTTAGCAGACCTTATTAAATCCACTTCTCTTATTATATGGGATGAGGCTCTAATGACGCACCGGCGATGTTTTGAGGCTTTAGATAGAACATTGCGTGATATTCTTTCTGAAGATGATCATTCAGCTGCATCAATTCCTTTTGGTGGTATGGTAGTTGTGCTGGGTGGGGATTTTCGCCAGATCTTGCCTGTTGTTGAAGGAGGCGTTAGATCGAAAACAATTGATGCTACAATATCAAAATCTCCTCTTTGGTCATATGTATGTGTTTTAGAGCTATCGATCAACATGCGTTTACGTTGTTCCTCTCTAGATTCTGATATGCAACGCGAAGTCGCTGAATTCAGTGATTGGATCCTTTCTATCGGTGATGGCACAGCAGCAGCGTGTAGTTACGGCAGCGATGTTGAACCAACTTGGATTGAAATCCCTCATGATCTTTTGGTCATGAATAATGATGAAAAGATTGGAGCTATTGTAGCTGCAGTTTACACCAACTTTGCTGAACAGTACAATGATCCAGTATATCTGCAAGACCGTGCTATTGTTTCTCCTACGAATGATGTGTGTGCTGCTATTAACTCTTGGGTTTTACAACTTTTTCCTGGTGAAGCAAGAGAGTACTTGAGCTTTGATCGTCTTGCAAAAACAAATGAAAAGTCTGATGATTTAGATGTTTTATACCCAATTGAATTTTTGAATAGCATCAAAGTTAACAATTATCCTGAACATCAATTGTGCCTAAAAATAGGTGTTCCCATAATGCTTTTGAGAAATTTAGATCAGACCGCTGGGCTTTGCAATGGGACAAGGATGATTGTTACAAACTTGGGTGATAGGGTGATCGAAGCGCGTATTATAACTGGTTCTAATGCGGGGGAAACTGTTTATATCCCAAGAATAACCTTATCTGCGACCAGCAAAAAATGGCCCTTCACATTAGAACGTCGGCAGTTCCCTGTCCGTGTCTGCTACGCTATGACTATAAATAAAAGTCAAGGACAAAGGTTACGTTCAGTTGGTATTTACTTGAAAAACCCTGTTTTTTGTCATGGCCAGTTATACGTTGCTCTTTCCCGAGTCACTTCTCGCGCAGGCTTAAAGGTGTTAATTGAAGATGACAATGGCAATTGCACTACTCGCACTTGGAACATCGTGTACCGCGAGATATTTTCTGCTGTTAGATAGTAATAATATATGTTTTTGCCTATACTATAGCTGTTCTGTACAGATATCATTGTCCTGTTCACATTTTTGGAGTCGTACAGCTGTTTTAAAATTAGCAACCCTTAGTTAGCTATACTGTGATTCCTCTCCTGTCTTGTGTTGCAGTGCTCCCATAGGTAATTCATCGCATTTACTTCCTTGTTTAATACTTTCCCGTTTTATGTACATCGAATTGTTTCTTCCTGTTTTTTCAGATGCCTTTTGATCTGTTCTGTGATATATCTCCCACGAGTAAGAATTGGAAGATCTGTGCAACAATAGCAAGGAATGAATCTTGTCAGGTTGGAACGAGGATCAGACAATATTCCTCGAGAGATTGCGAGTGTTGTGTCCCAAAAATTCACTTTCTGCGTTTCTGTCACCGAAAGGAGCTTGATGCAGAGGAACATCGCGTTTCAAGTCAATAGCATTGAAACTTCTTTGGCAGACAAGGCACTATTCCACAGGTTAGGGATCAGACATTGCAACTCACATCATCTGTCATTTCACCTTTTGCTGGTGGTTCAAGTATATGTAGAGAAAGTGAGTGTCCTGATCATACTTCGACACCGCCTGCTTCTTCTAATACCCCTGTGGGTGATATGGAGAAAGCCCATGCTGATAGCAGGAAACGACGCCCCATTATGCGCCTTGTATGTTCTGCTCCTACCTTAGGAAAGACAGACCATTTGTTTTTTTTTTGTTATTCGGTCAAGGTTCTGATTTATACATTATTGTGGCAGCCTCTAGGTGCATCGAAGAAGCTAACTTTTGAGGTGGGCGCGTCCGAAGGAAAGGATATAGATACAGCTGTTGTTTCAGAAAGGTGATTTTGTATTTCTTTGCTGCATTAATATATGTATGCAGGGCTTATGTGGTTTATGTTTTTCCGCTATGCAGTGCTTCCTTACCTGCACATGAAATATACTATTTATCGTCGGCTATTGACTAAGCATTGATAGATATAACAACTTTTGTGCTGTTATTCTCAGGGTGCAGAATTAGCCTCCATTGATGGGAAAAAAAAGGGGTACAGCATTCTTGATGCCATGCTTTATAGACTTCTTATCTACGTATTCTTTTCAGTCACATTACCGTTAGTGTGCTTTGCTCACCGCATTTATTTTTTTTATTTCGTAGCACCGTCAATCCTGCTGGTGCTCAGAGGACAAGAGCTTCCTATATGAAATAGAAGCTACAATTTCACGCCATCGGTCTTCACTGGTCTGTGCTCTCTTGCATTTCCTTAGCTATGGTGTTCAATTGACAGCTTTTTATTAAATATATGTAACCCTACATCTCTCTGTGTGTTACAGGCAATGGACGCGTTTGAATCAAGTCCTTAGTTATGTGCTCTGCTCTTGTTCTGTGATTCTTGTTCACGCGAAGGTCAGTTTTAAATATATTTAAGTTCGAAAGATTTAGCTCTAGGTCCATGATTGAATGGAACTGATTTTAAATTGAGAATATGTGATGGTATTTCAGTTTAGTTTGGGCAGTCCTTGGGGCAAACTGGGAGCCTGTCCAAAAAAAAAAATAGGAAATCTTTAGGATGGTCATCTAATTCAGAACATTAATGCTAGATGTTTCAGTAACCATGATATGTGGGTTAGTAAATATGTGTGGGTTATTACCGGGTAGTGCATTTACCCACATTCTGATTCAGAGGGACAAAATATATTGCCATTGATTATTTATTCTGCTGTGATGTAAAGGAGGATTTAGGTTGCAATTAATAAAATTGTACTGCTGCGTTTGTACCTAACAAGTCACAACTCTTTCTGGTAAACATTTTAGCATGCTGTTTTACATCTTCTAGATTTATTTGTTTTTCAGTGCAGGTCACTGACTTTACGGTATTGGAGTTGGAGTAGAAGATCAGCTGCTCCATCATCGACGATGGCCTGATCCACAAAGATGAATTTTGGTGCTGATACTTCCAGGGAGGTAAATTATTGTTCTATTTCACACATGCTGGTGGGGTGCGATGTCATATGTGCCAAATGGACCTGAAAATATTGTTAGCTAGCCTGAGTAACAATTTCGAATGTAGGCCGTGCCTTATACCCTTCAGAATATATAAGCGCTATGAAGAAACACCATTCGTGTGTTCATATAAATATGCTATGCATAGAGATGATACGCTAAAGGATAATCAAGGATTAATTTCAATGCTAAAGTTTGTTTTCCAGATAAATAACCTCCTACCTTACAGATCACTGTAGCTCAAACTACATGTCCATGCAAACTCCAACATTCTTTGCGCATGGCTCATGCCCTGGTTAAACCTAACCATATCAGCCCTTAAATCATTGGTAACCTGCCATTCCTTCAAATACAAACCGAAAGAAAATAATACTTCGGCAACAAATAAAAATGGTATTAGCCATATAGCAGCCCTTAAAACAGAGCCTTTTTCAACAATAAGAAGACTGCTGTATAATTTTACTCATCCCCTATTTGACCCATTATACATCACAATATACAACTCATGTTTAGTATCTGAATAAATCCACCGAAGAACAAAGATCAGTGCTCATTACCACTACACTATAACAAGCACCTAACACTCTCCTCTGCAATCTCAGCTCTGTTATCTGTCCCTTTGTTTATCACTGTGTACATTGCAACTTCCCTACCACTGTTAAATTTGCACTTATAAATTTCTTTTAACTACCTTTTTTTTTTTGCAGATACAGCCATGAATCCACCTAGGTTTTTCACGGTTAGACTAACCACAGCAAACCAGCGCTATGTGGTAACCTTACCAACAGATATAACATATACAGTCTAGCTTAATACACGCCAGTCTTAATACATCATTTCAATTCTGCAGCGCAGACCAGCTGCAATCGCACAAGGATATCAGCTGGAGGATGGCCAGAGACTCAAATTAGTAACAACCCATAACCTAATGGTCTACATTGAACTAAAGAGAGCATCTGGCAAAATATACATCACTACAGGATGGCCCCAGTTCATAGAAGCCACTGGTTTGCAGCTTAAAGAATATGTGGTTTTCAAAGTCTTATCACGCTCCAAGATGCATGTCATCATATAAGCCAAGAGTGGTTATCTTAGATGTCCAGTGCCAAGCAAACCAAGCAACTCACAGCTAAAGAAAAACGCGCTTCAGAAACCAAAACCACCAGGTAAATGATCTTCAACCCACTTTCCGTCTCCTATCAAGACAACAAATCATTTTCATCTATGGCACCATATCTGAAACTATTACATTACTGATTCCACTCTCTACTTTTGATTTCCGTTAATGCTTGCAACGCCAATTCACCTGCAGAAAAAAAGAACCAAGACTAAGCCACACATGCAACACCCCATGCAACAGAAATTAAAAGCCGATATAGGGTCAGCTTGTACAGGTACAGATACTTCTCTTTCTATTTTCAGTTCCATTGATTTGCGTCTCTTTTAATGTGCATTGATGTATTCATTCACTCCTCTTTCGAAAGGCAACACCAAACGCACTATCAATGAAATGTGCTTCTGCACCGGGGAGGGACATCAATCTATCAACTGAACTCAAAGACTACTTCAAAGATATTGCGCAATTTCTGCACCCCTCAAACGAATTCTATGTCACAACCATAAATCCAACTTTCATGAAGCAGGATAAGGTGGTAAGATAACTGCACCACTACCCCTTTATATACCTCTTACCTTAAAAACTAACATATACTTATCATGCAGCACTTTTCAAAGCAATTCTCTATGACATACATTGCACTAATCGTGCGGAAGAAGACATCGCAGATCGAAGTACGGATTCCAGGGCACTCCTCAACCACCATGGTTCTTCACCACTCCACAGAAAAGCGCTTTAACCTGAAATCAGGATGGACCCATTTTCCAACAAGCAACGGCATACAAGTTGGAACAATCTGCATCTTTCACTTCCACCAGACTAATCAGCTGCAAGCAACAATAGATGTGCTGTGAGCAAGATGCTCATGCAACACAAGCTGTTATCCTTTTAATATCGTAGGCTATATTTTCACTCTGCTACTTCTATAGCTGTTAGTATCATTCTTTGTATGCTTTGCATGGGTACTCAATTTCCATGTAAAAATCACGCCCAAACTATTATGCCAGCGTGCTGTTACAGAACAGGAGCTGACGGTACCTTACGTACTGTCTTTGGTTGTTTTGCTTGTACTTATATGCAACCAAAGACAATTCACCCTGTCCTGTATGAACAACCATGCTATCATATTCTGTTTCACCTTTATCTTTATGTGTATGCAGCACCCTAAAAAATTCTTGCATAGCGAGCACACTGTGTGAACAGGCGGCGCGCAAAGGCGCGCCCCAATCTCTAGTATATTCTAATGGTTTGTCCTTTGTTCGTTAACAATGTAACCTTAACAAAATTTTAGCCATTTATTTTTTAAAAAAAATGTGCGATTTTATTAGAATTGGTTTGAAATTTTTTGGCAATACTACTTTTTGTTCCTCCTACAAACTAGATGAAACCGTCTTATTGGTAGTGTCAAATTTTTTTTGTATGGTTGGATTGGAAGATGAACCCCAAGCCATAAAAAGAAAACCCTTAGGCTTAGGGTCCTCTGCCGTATTCCAAATTGTTTCTGAGAAGCACAATTGGACAATCACATACTACCTCACTATCTCTATATTTTAATGTATGACACTGTTGACTTTTTATCCAACGTTTGACCATTCGTCTTATTCAAAAAATTTATACAATTATCATTTATTTTATTGTGACTTGATTCATCATCAAATGTTCTTTAAGCATGATATAAATATTTTCATATTTGAACGAAAATTTTGAATAAAACAATGGTCCAACGTTGATCGAAAAGTCAACGGCGTTATACATTAAGATACGGAGGGAGTAGCAACTAGATTGTCCACCTCTTTATACCATAATAGCTAGTTGCTCGGTTACCGTTCAAAAAGCATAAAGAGTTAGACAATTCAGTGTGATACCAGATTTTCTTTGACCCTATACAACTTTTGGTAGACTCAAGGAACGGTACCAAAGATGGAGGAGTTGGGGCTATAAATAGGTAGTGTTATTGATAAACCTTGAGATCCATTTGATACGATCACGGTTTTGATTGGCTCGATCTTTCAGTGAGTTGAGATAACTATGATTTGGAAGAGAAGTTGACGGTCGGACTATAACCGTACAGGCCATTATTGTGTTGCACCTTAGCGATCGATATACCTCTCCGTGGGTTGTTGATCAAATCGGTGCAGATCAATCTTATTTTTACAAGTAAATCAAAGAAATAAGCAAGAACAAGATAAAAGTAATCTAAATTGTGAAAAGGAATTAAATCTCACAATAAGTTGGGGTTCTAAAGACGAGTAATTAGGTGGTCTAGCCGACACATGTAACTACAAGGTAAAGTAGCAATGGCTAAAACATTAATCTAATGAAATCTAAGGAACCTTGAAGTGGTACCTAGCTATTTAAAGAGATGGGAGGACGACCAAGAGGTCCCTAAGACCGTGCTCCACCAGATTAGGGTGCACCCCACATAGACCCTACTTGGGCTGGGGTTAGTTACAAGTCGAGGACCCACATGTTTGGAGAAGAAGAGGAGGCAGACATGCTAGAGTCGAGGCTAGAGCTCACCAATGGAACTCAACATCGATTTTAGTACTTCCAGGGCCCCACGGGGACCCGCGGGTGGAGATCTCAACCTGTCCCCATCCCCACTGTAACGCCCTGAAAATCGCCCTAAATTTAAATCGTGCTTTAATGTATTTCTAGAAATTTTAAAAGCCTAAAAGAGCCTCCAACAATTAAAACTCACCAAGATTTATATAAAATTGGCTTGTGGACATTTTTAATAAATTCCCCATGCTTAAAAATATTTAACCAATTTTTACTTGAATTTTAAATAATTTTAGGGCAACAAAAACAATTAAAGAATTTTATAAAAAGGAAAAGCTAAAAGAAATCATCTTCCTCCTGTTGGGCTGCTTCCAGCCCATCTCTCCCTCTCTTGGCCCAGCCCGGCCACCCCTCTCTTCTCTCGGAAAAAGTACACCCAAGGTCCCTCAACTTGTCGTCGGGATAAAAAAAGTCCTTCAACTACAAAACTAGATATACGGGGTCCTTTATCTATACAAAACCGGTCACTAGAATCTTTCGGTGGTTTTGACTCCGGTTTTGATCTACGTGGTGGCTGAGTCAGCGTAGGACCCGCGTGAGCCCCACATGTCAGGTGTCCACGTCACCCTCACTCTTTCCCCTCTTCACTCCCTTCCTAATCTCTCTCTCACTTCTCTGCAAGCTGGCCGGGGTGAGGCGGGAGGGCGGCGCCGCGACGGCCGCCGGCGGAGGGGGCGTGCGAGCGCTGCGGCTTCTCCGCCTCCTCGTCCCGCTCGGCCGACGTGGGCGCGCTCGTGTCGTCGCGCGCGCCGGCGAACGCGTCGGCACTGGCAGCGGCGCCGGCGACGCGTACGCGCGGTGGGACGCGGTGGTGGGGTGCCGGGTGCTCGCGGAGATGTACCGGCCGTGGTCTCCTAACACGGCGGCGTTGCAGCACGTACGTGGTTGGTTGGTTCGTTGGCTTCTTCTCGGTTTGTTCGAGGTCGCGAGAGGGAGAGGAATCGATGGAGAGAGAGAGGCGGCGGCAGAAAAGGTTGGAGAAGGGGAGGCATTGGAGAAGTCAAGAAACAAGAACCCAATCACCGTTGAGATTGGGTTAGTTTTCCACCCTCCTCTGCGCCAATGCGTGTTTCTTGGTATTCTTCTCTATATTGTTCGTTTCTTTTTTGTGTGGATGGAATCATGGAAATGGAAATAAAGATTTGCATCTTTACCATCTGCATGCGTGGGGCATTTGTTCGTTTCTTTTTTGTGTGCATGGAATCATGGAAATGGAAATAAAGATTTGCATCTTTACCATCTGCATGCGTGGGGATCCAGGTTGCAGGGTATCAGGATATATAGCATCTGGCTAGCGTCGATTTTCTTTTTCTTTTGTGTGTCTTGAAATGATAAGAATCGTAGTACTGATCATTTCTCCCTTCGTCGGCAATAATAATTCCTCTCTTTATCTTGGCGCAAGAATCTAATTTGCAGTTGAAGAACAGACATGGTTTGAGTAGTAATATCCTGTATTATGAATCTGGCTGCATAACGCCTCGTCACTGCAGCAATGCCATCATCAGCCATGGCCGTCGACACCACTGCTCCTGAGTATTGGCTGAACTGGAGGTTCATGCTCTGCGCGGTCTGGGTCTACTCCTGCATGGTCCTGGCATGCTTCTTGATCTGGAAGTACGAGGGACCGAGCTCGCAGGATGGCAATGGCGATGGCGGCGGGGACAGTGAGGATGCGCGGCTGCCCTGGTCTGCATCCGGGGTCTTGTACCTTGAAGATTGCTGGAAGCCATGCCTTGAGCAGATCCACCCTGGCGGCCATCTCCATGTGCGACACCGCTCCAGCTCGCCCCTCGCCCGCCGCCTCCACCGGCGGCCGTCGCGGCGCCGCCCTCCCGCCTCGCCCCGGCTAGCTTGTAGAGAAGTGAGAGAGAGATAAGGAAGGGAGAGAAGAGGGGAAAGAGAGAGGGTGATGTGGACACCTGACATGTGGGGCCCACGTGGGTCTCACATTTACTCAGCCACCACGTAGACTAAAACCGGGGTCAAAATCACAAAGGATTTGGGGTGATCGGTTTTGTATAGTTAAGGGATCTTGCATGTCTGCTTTTGTGGTTCGAGTACGATTTTATATCCCGACGACAAGTTGAGGGACCTTCGGTGTACTTTTTCCTCCTCTCTCCCCACCCCCTCCCTCTCCTTGGGCCAGCCCAGCTCATTCCCCCTCCCACAGACCGAAGTCTGTTTTGCCTTCTCTGCGCGCCCAGTCAGAGACAGGTGTGCTCCTTCTCGATGATAGGTGGGTCCCACTCGTCATCCCTAACCTCCAGCCATCCTCTCTCTCTTCGTCCGAATTCCAAGCGACGGCAACCTCCGATTCGCCTCCTCCACTCGCCGTTTCATCAAATTAATTGAGGGGAATTAATTCCCACCTCATCCTCTCCAATTCCCCCATAATTTCCCACTCGATCCAGCATTATTCGCGGTGGATTTCGATGATGTTCTTTAATGGTGAGCTCCACCATGGCCGGCATCGATCTCCCTCCCCGGCGTCTCTCTCCCTCCCCTCCGGCCTATAAAAGGGACCCCGACTCCCTCCTCTCTCCCCACACACCGCCGCCCTCTCCCTCCTCTCTCCATAGCCGCCGCGCCGCTCTCTTCTTGTGCCGCCGCCGTTGCAACTCCGGCCGCCCCTCGCTGGTGGTTGGGACCTCGTCGGAGCCCGGAGTCGCCACCATCCGCTTCGCCGCTTCCTCCTCTTCCCCGTCCACCCCTCCGTCGAGCACGAAGACGGCGGGAATGACAACGACCCCTCCGTTTCTTCCTCACCGCCGGCAACACCGTCAACCTCTCGCTGCCGCGTCTGCTCGGTGAGAACCGTCGTCTCCTCCTCTTTCCGTTTTTCCCTTCCCGTGCTCTGTCGCACCGCCGCCACGCCATTGGCCGTCGCCGGCGAGCCGCCTGGCTCGGTTGCTGCCGTGCCTGTGCGTCGGTGTGCTCGGCTCACAGTGGACCGAGCGGCTGGCAAGTGGGACCCGCTCGTGGACCCAGTCCGCGTGCGCTCTCTCTCAATAATTCAAGTTTTCCTTTAGAAAAATAATTCACAAAATTACAAATTTCCGTTTAAACAACACCTAAACTTCAAATGGCCATATCTTGACCGTTTGAACTCGGTATCGATCCGTTCAAATCTCTAATTTCTCCTTAAAATGAGTAGAACCCATTTATGTGCTTTATTGCTTCTGTTCATATGGATTTTATTAGCCTTTTTGTATTTCTTCGCAATGGTCGTGTAGATCGTGCCGTTCCGGAAGATCAGCTCTTCATCGTCATTGACATTGAAGACTTTGTGAGCGATCAAGGCAAGTCATATCTACCTTAAACATGTTGAATCCCATATTGTGAAAATTATGTTGTTTTACTTATATTGCATTGCTTTATAAATTATACCGTTCATTATTAATATTGTTTTATTATTTATTCCTATGCTCTTGGTTATGGCCATTATGTTGATTTGATATCCATAATCTTTGTGAACCCTAGTAAAATTATAACTTGACTAGTCTAGTACCCTACATGATGGACTGACTAGTTGCTTTAGGTAAATGCATAGTCCTGCTTAGTTCCAACCTAGAACTTTTGGATAAACTAGACTATGGTGGTTAACAACTAAAACTTGATTAGTTATGGACTATTGACTGGTTTGTCAATGGATGGGTGATAAAATGCTTTGTGCAACTAAAATATATTTTTGGGCTGGGCTCAGGGTGCAAGCTAGTTACTTTGGTAGTCGCACCCCGGCTAATATAAGGACCGGTCTTTGTGCAACCACAAGTCTAGTGGGTAAGGCCCGACTGAAAGTTTAGATCTTCTCAAAACAAAGACCATTGGTTGGAAGGGTGTGGGGCCAGGATTAATGCCGTTTCTTTTACCCGGCGCAAGGGGAGCCTGTCTCGTCCAGGGGGATCCGGCAACCTTTACCTTGTCGGGGACCGGCGGGCGGTGAAACCTCAGCGGGTTCTCCTGTTTTGGGTAGACCTAGATGGATAGTCTTGTCACGACCTCTATCCGAGTACCGTGGTGGTACCCGGCGCGTGGCAACATGTGTTGACGTTGTGTCTTCTGGGTAAAGTTGTACACCTCTGATGAGAATTAAAAACTATTTGAATAGTCGCGCCCTCGGTTATATGCAAGCTGAGCAATGTACCCAAAGTTAGTTTTGTTTTATAAAACCTTGGGAGGGTGAAATCATGATGGTGTAGTCATGTGGAGATTAGCCTGGGCTAAGGCAGGTTCGCAGGCTCATGCGACCTTGGTGATATTAAAATATTGGCTTAGAACAGGATCGTGTTTTAAAATGAGCTTTAACCTGATTAAAATGTTTAAACTATGACTTTAGGCAAAATAAATCCTATTAGGCCATTTCCATGTTTTCCCTATGCATTATTGTTGCATTTCCGGTGTGACTTGCTGAGTATGGTGGTGGTACTCACTCTTGCTCACAAAAATAATCCAGAGGATGGACCTGAAGAAGATGAAGGCTTGGATCTCTAATTTACTCCACCGTCGAGTGCCTGTGGCTGCTGTTGTTCCGTAGTCTTCCGCTGTTTTATTTGTTTATCTTTGAGTGTGAGGGCCTAGAGTCGCCCATGTAATAAAGTTCTTCCTTTACGTTTCCGCTAGTGTGGCTTGTAATAATCAACAATGTCTATGTGTACCTCGCCTCCTGGGACGAGGATTAATGCACTGAGCGTTTGGCAATGGTGTATATTTCCGGGCGTGACAAGTTGGTATCAGAGCCACCTTGACCGTAGGACGAGCCAGTGGTCTAAGCCTTAGGATGATATTTTTTTTAGAAACTAGTTCTTTAATTGTGAAAACCTTCGTTATTCTATCTTCACCTGTCCACTCTTTACAAAACTGGTCATTGACTCTTATTTCAAAATGTTGTAGATGCCTGAGTTCGAGACTACCCGCTGCTTCAACTTGGCCGGTTTTGTGGAGCAACTTCGTGCCTTGGCCGCTGAAGTCGGATACTGTATCACTATGGAGTACCGCGTGGTTCTCAACTTCGAAGACGAGGGTGTACTTGAACCACTTTGGAGTGCCAAGGTGATGATCATCTCCAACCGGATGATGCTAGAAAGTTGCTGGTTCACAGGAGAAGGTGACAGCCGTGAATCTGCCTGCCAAGAAGCTGCATTCCATGCCATTGGGGCCCTTTGCCAGAGTCACTCCGACCAGTTGAAGACCACTCTGTTCCACTACCACCCTGCTCGCTTGGGTTTCGCAGAAGATGCTGACTTCCGCGATGCCCGCAATGAAGGGGACACCACCATTGTGCACATGTCCAAGATGATGGCCGCGATGGACAAGTACCGTATGGTCTACTACAGGATGACGGAGAGGATGTTCGAGGCAGTGCTTCAGAAGAATCGTGACAAGGAGAATGAGCTTCGCGCTCTACGCAAGGAGCTGAAGGACTTGAAGAGTGGGATGCCTGGAACCGTCGTCAAGACCCTACCACCTGTTGGATCAAGCGCCTGTCCTCGCCACGGCATCAGCAACGTGGATGAGCCATTTGTGGACCGTAGCCCCTCTAGGAGTCGTTCTCAAGAGTAGACGCGAAGTCTTAGTGCGCGTATGTTTTTATCGTTTATCTTCTGCTGGAGTTTGTTGCCTTGTGTGCTTTTTGGTATGGACTATATCGGCCCGTTGTGATATAGCTATACCTTTGTGGTGCTTAAGCAACTTGAACTCTATGTAACCAACATCACATTAATAAAATTTAAATAAGTTGGTTTAATAGCTCGTGTTCTTGTCCTGATCTCTCCCTTCTTCTTTTCCCTCTTATCTTGGTTACTACAGATGGTGAACACAAGGAGTACTGCTGCTAACAATGCTCGTGCTAGGAATTCAGCTCAGAATCAGAATCAGAACCAGAACCAGAATTAGGACCAAGGCCACGCCCCTCCACCACCACCGCCGCCACCTCCGCCAATCCATGATCACCCCAACTTAGCACAAGTGCTCGCCAACCAAAACCAATTCATCGCAGCTTTGCTCCACCAAATGCAAAACCCGCAAGCACCCGCTGCTCAAGCTCACGTACACGCTCCACCGCAGTCAAAGCTGTCGGAATTCCTCCGAGTCCGACCTCCTAGTTTTTCAAGCACAACCAACCCTGTCGAAGCAAATGACTGGTTGCACGCGGTCAATAAGAAGTTGGACCTCATCCAGTGTACTGATGAGGAGAAAGTCGCTTTCGCCGCTCACCAACTGCATGGACCTGCTTCCGAGTGGTGGGACCACTTCCAGGCCACCCAGCCAGTTGGACAAGTTATTACTTGGGCTCGTTTCTCTACTGCTTTTCGTAGAGCTCACGTACCTGTTGGAGTTGTAGCACAGAAAAAGAAAGAATTTCGTGAACTCAAGCAAGATGGCAGGACCGTAACTGAATTTTTGCACGACTTCAACATGTTGGCTCGATATGCTCCTGAGGACGTTCGCACCAATGAAGAGTAGCAGGAGAAATTTCTTGAAGGGTTGAATGACGAGTTGTTAGTCCAGCTCATCTCTGGTGACTGCGAAGATTTCCAAATGCTAGTCGACAAGGCGATCCGCCAGGAGGACAAGCACCGAAAGATTGAAAGCAAGAAGCGTAAGTTGGCCAATGCTAGGATGTTTCAAGGACCAAGTCAGAAACCACGTTATGCGTTTCCCCCTCAAGTTGGTTCTTCATCGGTAGCACAGCGTGCACCCCGTCCACAGATGAACAACAAGCTGCAGAACTCAGGATGGAACAACAATCAGCGTTCTGCCCCTGCCCAGGTTGGATCGACACGCAGAGATAGCTCTGGGAAGATACTTGTGTGCTACAACAGCTATGAGCCTGGACACTTCGCCGACAAGTGCCCAAAGCCAAAGCGTCCGCAAGCTCCTGCATCTGCATGCAATGCCAACTAGAACAACAATGGCAACTGCAACAACAACAACCTGGTGAGGGGACGTGTGAATCATGTCTCGGCTGAGGAGGCACAGGCTGCGCCAGAAGTCATACTTGGTACGTTCCTGATTAATTCTGTTCATGCATGTGTACTTTTTAATTCAGGAGCTACGCATTCCTTTATATCAAGAGATTTTGTGGCAAAACACCAAATAAGGGTAGAAGATCTTAGCAAACCTATGATAGTATCAACCCCAGGAAGCCAACTACCTGCTAAGCTCTTTAGCCCATTGGTAACCATTGAGATCCAAGGAGTCACTTTTCTGGCTAATCTCATCCTTCTAAGCTCTAAGAATCTGGATGTCATTCTTGGCATGAACTGGTTGACCAAGCACAGTGGTATTATAGATTGTGCCAGCTGATCCACATCTATGACTAGGGGTACTGGCCAGCGAGTCACTTTCCATGCCAAGCCTGTATTTCCTTGTAAGCAAGTTCTGAACCACGTCAGTATGGATGAAATACCCATTGATGAGGACATAACTAGCTCGGATATAACCATGACTACCTTATGTATTAATCAAATAAAGGTGCTTATGTTCTATATTAGATTTACTTGTTATATATTTCAACAAACGTTGCGACACAATGAGTTTTGTGTGTTTTTGTTTGCAGAGGTACTTGCTTGGGCGAAAGAAAAGAGACCGAGCGTAAGGAATACATGGATGATTGAAGAAGTTGATTGGGGACCAAACCAAGACCTTCTTTAAGTCTTCTTTCATATCACCACGTCACTTTTGGTCCATAGAAGACAAGAGATAAAGTTCTACACGTTTTGGATTCGGATTCGGGCCTCCTGACAGCATCAACTTCAAACGGACCTACTCACTGATCTAGAAGGAATTTCGGGGCCCATAAGTACTTCTTGGAAAGCTTATGAAGTCTACTTTCAGATGGTTTTGGTCCCACGTCAAAACTCCTACCGAGTTGCCGGGAATCTGCAAAACAAGCCACGCACCTCATCCAGTCCGAATCTGATTTTGAGTTTTGGGCCTTGTAATTGTGTCGTGGGCTTAGGCCAAAGGGGTGTGCTCCCTAGGGCAACCCTAGGACGTCTCTAATCACATTTATTCAGTAGCCATCATCGTCTTAGATTATTCTGTTGAGAACAGTTTCGCCGCTAGATCGGTTTGTGGAATCTCAAATTCGTGTGCTTAATCATTCATATGCAATTTGGTTGCAATCTATCTTGTTCTTGCTTGTGTTCTTCGATTCGCATGTAAGGATTAGCCTTCTCGGCGAGGTCAACCGGGTTTCGGCACGGTTGATAACCAGAGGAGACGTGGTGCTGCGATTTTGGGGCTCAGTAGCGTGTTCGTTCAGAAGCCGGATCGAGTTGTGTCGCGACTCCGCCCAAATCGACTGTTTGTCAATATCTATCGGAAGATCGGGACCTACATCCCTCATCAGTTGGTATCATAGCGCGGTTGCCCATTAGGTAATTTATCTTCCCATAATCAGAAAATTGCCACATAAAAATATTTATTCTTTACCTAGACAATTTGAGCCGTTGCATTGTTCTATTAGATTTTGCTTTGTTGAATTCTAGATTGCATCGTCATGTTGAGTGCTGGTTTAGTTTTAGATTTAATTTTTAGTTTTGAGTATTGCATCTGTTCATCACTTTGGGTCTAGGATTTATCACGTGTGAGTTGTACGTCAATTTTAGGTCCAGTTTTGCATCTTGTCGGTTCTTGCCGGGACCTTGAAAAATTGAATCGTTTCGTCGTCGGGTTTCCGTTTTTGTATTTTGGAGAAATTTTTATCCAACGGTTTGGGAGTTACTCGATTTCTAGAGCTCCTGTACCACTGTGCGCGCGCGTGAGGGGAGTACTGTGCGCCTGAGGGGAGGGATCAGATCAGATCTATCTGTGACTATCTATATTTTTCTCTGTCTAGAATTGTTAAGTAGTGGATTTGAGATATTTTTATAAAAACGGAACCTACATGATGTGAGCATTCCATTTTTAAGATGATCTAATTTTAGTTTTGCATTTTACATTTGAGTCCCTGTAATATTGATATTTATATTTTGAGTCCATGTTCGAGGTCAGTGGTCGGTTCTTGTTGAATAAAAAGTAAAAAAATAAATAAAGAAAGAAAAGGGCGGAAAGGTGCAAAGAAAAAAAAGAAAGAAAAAGCCGCACAAAAAAAAGAAAAAAAAGGCAGAAAGGTGCTTAAAAAAGCCACACCAAGAAAGAAAAACCATTCATCCTTGGAGTATGTTTTCAGAGTGCAGAGTTGTGCATTGATTCATATCTAGTCCTTAGTGTTGTCGGGTGCTTGCTTGAGCTAGAGTTGAGTCTAGACTAGGCCAGCACATTGACTAATACTTTGAACTATTATTCAACTTTGCATTTTCTGATTAGTACAATTACGTTCCTTTGCTACTATATATTGTGCCTCCCAAGCTCCATATATATTCTTCTGAAACTGATGAGGAATGTAGGTCCCGATCTTCCGATAGGTATTGACAAACAGTCGATTTGGGCGGAGTCGCGATACAACTCGATCCGGCTTCTGAACGAACACGCTACTGAGCCCTGGTATCTTTCAAAGATAGTATCTTTCCTGGTATCTCTGAAAATCTCATCGATTCTATTTTTCGTCCTTTCAATACTATCTTTGAAATTTTCCTCGATTCCATTCTTCATCCTTTCAAGATTATCTTCGAAAATTTCAATAAAACTCATGGGTACCAATTTCATTTTCCGACCATTATGTCTAAATGTGTATGTATTAGCAACAAAATTATGCGATCCATTATTATCATATACCCATGGTTGACCAAACAACAAAGAACATGCTTGCATAGGGACAAGATCAAAATTGGCAGTATCATGGTAATTTCTAATCGAAAAGTTTAGCTTCACAATTCTATTTACCTTAAACTTACCACAAGAGTTGAACCATTTGATGTAATATGGATGAGGATGCGGTTGTGTAGGCAACTCAAGTTTCTCAACCAAATCTGAACTCACCATGTTATTGCAACTCTCACTATCGATTATAGTACGACATGCTCTATCCTTAACCATAAACTTTGTTTCAAATAATTCGTGGTACTGCCATTGCTCTGCTTTCTCCATTTGAGAGCTTAGCACTTGTTACACCAAAGTACTGTCATTACGTGCATCTTGTTGGTATCGCTGATTTCGAGTGCCACTCATACCTGTCATTGCAAACACAAAAAAAACAAACAATGAAGGTTATCCCTAATAATCTGCTACGCGGTGTAGTGGTGCCCCTCAACAACTCAGCCCAATGGAGCATCTTACCAAGCTCTTACAAGTGTCTTACCAGCAATGCTAAGGACGGTCCAACCGGTGGCTGGTTCGTGACACCTTGAAGGACGTGATGTGGCGATTGCAAGGATCAAAGCGGTGCTGACCAGAAGTATATGAACCCTAGTGCATGGTCCTGTTACAACTTAATCCGGCTTCTGAACGAACACGCTACTGAGCCCCGCAATCGCAGCACCACGTCCCTCTGGTTATCAACCGTGTCGAAACCTGGTTGACCTCGCCGAGAAGGCTAATCCCTGCATGTGAATCGAAGAACACAAGCAAGAACAAGATAGATTGCAAGCAAATTGCATATGAATGATTAAGCACACGAATTTAGGGTTCCACAAACCGATCTAGCAGCGAAACTGTTCTCAACAGAATAATCTAAGCAAAACCCGACTCTAAACGATGACGGCTATTGAATAAAAGTGATTGGGGACATCCTAGGGTTGCCCTAGGGCGCACACCCCTTTGGGCTAAGCCCACGACACAATTACAAGGCCCAAAACTCAAAATCAGATTCGGACTGGATGAGGTGACGTCATCTAACCGTTACTCACAATTTGAACTGGAAACTAGACAGGAAGTTCCAGACCTAGAAGACAGGAACTTCTAGACTACACTTAGGAAAATCTTTTTCACCAAACTGGAACTTCCGGACCTAGAAGACAGGAAGTTCCGGACTTGCATTTTTGGACAGATGGAGTATTTGTAAAAATAACTCCTAGGGAAACTTGACACTTGGTTCACACTAAGAGTACTTGACATATCTCAGAGCATCACCTGGAGCCCCTCTTAATAGTACGGTTTTTCCTAAAAACTCGATTGCAATAAATAAACTATCCCATGCACTTCTCGAGTTCCGGTCCGCTTTGATTTTATACTTTTGGGGGGGTCTCCAAGCATCCATCTTCCACACCTTGGGCTAATGCACCTGAAAGTAACTCAATGAACTCATTAGTCCCTTAACCACATTTGTCATTAATCACCAAAACCCACTAGGGGGATCAATGCACTTTCAATGGTTATATCCGAGCTAGTTATGTCCTCATCACCCATCGTGAAAGAGTATCTAGATGTTTTTCCGGAGGAACTACCAGGCATGCCGCCCAAGAGGGACATCGAGTTTCGAATGACTTAGTGCCCGAGACAGCGCCAATCTCCAAGAGACCGTACCACATGGCTGCCAAAGAGCTAGCTGAAGTTAAAAAGCAGTTGGAAGAACTCAAAGAAAAAGGCCACATCCGACCAAGCACTTCACCCTGGGGAGCTCCAGTTATCTTCGTGGAAAAGAAGGACAAAACTAAGAGAATGTGTGTGGATTACCGTGCACTCAACGAGGTCACCATCAAGAATAAATATCCTCTTCCGAGGATAGATGACCTCTTTGATCAATTGAAAGGAGCAACCGTGTTCTCGAAGATTGATCTTCGATCCGGCTACCATCAGCTAAGGATCCGAGAGGAAGACATCCCTAAAACGGCATTCACGACCAGATATGGGTTATATGAATGCAAGGTTATGTCGTTCGGACTGACGAATGCACCAGTCTTCTTTATGAATCTGATGAATAAAGTGTTCATGGAATATTTAGACAGGTTTGTCATGGTCTTCATCGATGACATCTTGATCTATTCCAAGACAGCAGAAGAGCATGAGCAACACCTTCGCCTAGCGCTAGAGAAGCTTAGAGAACATCAATTGTATGCAAGTTCAATAAATGTGAATTTTGGCTTTCAGAAGTGAAATTTCTTGGACACGTAATTTCAGCTCAAGGAGTGGCAGTGGATCCAACTAACGTCGAATTAGTGACCAATTGGAATCAACCCAAATCAGTGACCCAAGTTCGCAGTTTC